TACATTACAGAGATGGAAGTTCGTGAGGTAGGAGTGGGGAGCTTACCCTCAGGGCGGTCAGTGTTGCTGTCTGAGATGTGGATTCTTACTTTCACCTGTAAGGCCAGATTGACCACTGTCAATATGTAGAGGGTCAGGTTACAGATTCTTGGCATTAGAGCATACATTATTTATCCCTAAATGCAACCAAAATTAATTTTTAATATAAATATTACGTAGGTCTCCACGACATGGCAATGAGCGTGACGTACGTATTTTTTTCTTTGTCTGTGAGATATTTCGAAGTGTAAAGTAACTGTGAGCCTGTACTTATATTTATCAAAATATTTTTCAAATAAATTCTTTTCACTGTTTCATACTTCATTGCATTTAATACTGACACAACTTCTTGATTGTTCAGAAGCTCTTCATATTGCATAGAAAATATTTTTCCTTCGCACTTCGTTAAATACTCACCATATCTAAAGGTTTTAAATGGATGCCATTGACCTGAATGAGGTATAGGCTCATGTTATATGCCATGTCCCAATTTGTTGCATAATGGAACTTTTTAACAGACTCGACAAAGTTATATTTCAGTTTAATGTAATATAGCAATTATAATTTAATAATTATAGATAACAGGTGCAACAACTGTCTCAGATCATTTTCCACAATAACATTAAATTGATATCAGCCGAAATTAAATTCACCCAGTAAATTTTAGTGTATATTCTTAATATTAAATTTAATTGAAATATATTCAGAAAAAATCAAGGGAGGATGCAGACTGAACACTGGCTGGACACTGCTTCTCCATGGACAGGGTGCAAAGAAAAAGCGTTTAAAAGACATGGAGATGAAAAGGAGGTGAAAATTCTTACATATAAATGCAGCTGCAGTAGACTCAGTAACGGCCAGCGGACAGTCATTTGGAAACTGTCCAGATGTAAGTCACGTGAATGTATCGTACTAATTAAACGTTGCATCTCATTACAGATCTAGCGACACGATAACTAATGTGCAACAAACAGTAGTACGTGATGCAATTCATTACATCAGTGTTGTCCATATGAACGTCAAAAACTTGAGTGGGCTTATGAGAGTAGCAACGCATTATGGTGTTAATATTTGCAGCAGCGTAGCTTTGGTAAAACAAGTAGTTTTGCAGGCATTCAAACACAACGCCCAGCCCTCAAGCCCACGTTCCACGTTGAAAGATCTGCCTCATGACACACACTGTAATATTAAAACTGTCACAGTTATTTTAAAGGAGCTGTAATTGTACAAAATTTTAAAAACTAAAATTATTTTCTCTACTTAATTAATTGAGCACCACGCCATGAAGAAGTATAAGGGAACGGAGGTTTAGCTCCACTATTCTTGGCCTAGGCACTAGATGGGGGTGAGTTGTTAGCTTCATGCACCTGCCAATTTACTCCCGGTAGCATAGATCTTACACATTCGGTAGGACTCCTTGGGCGGGTGATCAGCTCGTCGCAAGGCCTCTACCTGTATACAAACACAGAAGAACGCACACACACAAACTAAACATCCATCCCCTGAGTGGGATTCGAACCCACGATCCCGGTTTCCAAGCGAGCGAAGACAGTACATGTAACCTCTTCTATGGGTGTGCAGAACTCAATGATAATGCTTACCGTACTTCACTCATAGGATTTCTTGAAGACTGACTAGTTGATGAACTATTCCATTATCTTCTCACTTCGAGTTCTGTGGACTGCAGAGAATCCCGGTACAATAATTCTTTTAAATACAAATAAGAGCTTTCAAAAATCTTCTAAATGATATTTAAAATCAACATATATATTTATTCTTAGCCATCTATATCAGTGTTGATTTTAGCTTATGTAAGTTAAAATGGAAACATGTTTCGAGCATCGTGACAACTGCAAATTTATATGAATGAGAAATGCAACGGACTGCTTGTTTTATACGTGCAATCTCAACAGTTTCAAGTCCTGCAGAACATCAAATGTTACGCTGGTGCTAGAACAACGTAATAATATCAAAGTAGAACCACCAATATTGCACGCACATAGCCTGCGTTTTTAAAAAAGTGTATCTACAATAAAACTGCATAAAATGATTTTATCCAGTTACTTCTTTCTGTTGGCGAACCGGGATACCGTAGTCGGTACAGCGACTAGCTACTGGATGGACGACCGAAGGGTCAGAGTTCGGGTTCCGGTGGGGTCAAGAATGTTCACTTCTACATGTCGTTCAGACCGGCTTTGGGGTCCACCGAAACTCCTAACCAATGGGCAACGGAGGCTCTTTCACCGGGGGTAAAGCGGCCGGGGTGTGAAGCTGACCACTCACCTCCAACTAGTGCCGAGGTCAAGTAAATGTGGGTCTATACATCCACTCCCCTATAAGCCTTCATGGCATAGTGCTTACTTAGTTAAATACAGGGGCACTTTTACGTTGTTACCTTTTACTTCTTTTTGTTGATACGGTGCGGCCCTCTGTTTTTTGAAAGCTAAAATACGAGTATTACGCATTGTTTTAATTAGATCTTTTCGTAACCGGCTATGTTATAAGGAACATTTACTTTTATTATACTGGTCTGTTGTGTTGTCTTCCCGAATGGCAGCATAGATATGAACCAGGTGAGGCAGTCTGAAGGAATCAGAGTGTACTGTTCCTAGTGTATTTTTTGTTTATTCTGTATGTCACTAAATGTGTAATTTAACCGTGTTCCCTTCCGAACCATTTTTATTTTCCTTTTTTCCTGTGGCACTACAGCCCCAGTGGGCCTAGGCCTACCTCCATGAACTTAACCCTTTTTATTACTTTGTAAAATTTCCATATTTTATGTTTAACTGTCCTGATACTTGTAAGCATGTACAGGAACGTGTTACCATGTTAGAAGCCACAATGATTTGGGTAGTGAAGACTAAATACATATTGTTGTAGTGGTATTCACAGCAATGACTATAAAGTATTCTATCTTCTGGGATATACGAGTAATACCGTGTAGTCCGTTGAAAGTCAATCGACGTTTCGCAGGAACATACCTCCGAAAATTCGACTGGACACCACCTAATGCACGACGTTATGTCCCATAAAATAAAAGTCTTCGAATGTACTCATATATTGCTGTAAGAGATAACATAATAGTACTTCACGAATAAAGTCTGCCTTTATATGACAGTACGGGCATACTGTCATCGTGTAAATTTCAGATCTGAACTTCAAAATGCACAGTTACATGCTGAACAGGGGTGACAATCGGTACAAGAGGCTATGTTTTGTATGCATAATGATCAACGTACTTGGCAGTGACTTCTGTCCCATTTCCTGTACCTCTATGCAATGAAATGACTCGCGGTACAGAATCTAGATGACACTCCTATTGGGTTAATTAATGGTTCCATTTGGGGGACAATTAACAATATCAAGAGCCGCCCTTGTCTCTACTCCACACAACACCCTTTCCCCATTTATCACTGCCACACCTAGTGGGAAGCACAGTACAAGCATCAGCACTGACATCGATCCACCATTCGATAGGTATCGACTAGAACAAGGGTCTCCAAACTACGGCCCGCGAAAGAATTGTGCAGAAATGCGCCAATTGAACTAATTTTCCAATGAGTACCAGGAAAGAAAATATTTGTTCATAGATTTCAAATTCATTAATTAAAATTGTGTTTAAAATATATTGATATTCCATATTATGTTAATATTAATATTATTCATAATTTTACATTTGAAAGAACAATTTCGGAAGCGATTTGCTGATTTGGATGCCAGTGCTCAAGAAATTAATTGTTTCAAAATCCGTTTGACTGTGATACTACTGGTGTCCCAAGTCAAATTCAATTGGAAATTATTGAACTTAAGGAAAATTATCATATTAAAAACAAATACAAAGAAGGAAATTTGATCGAATTTTATAAATTTCTGAACTCTGAGCAATTTCCAAACTTAAAGAAATTTGCTTGTAAATTTATCTCCTTTTTTTGGGACGACATATCTGTGTGAACAAACTTTTTCCCAGATGAAGTACATCAAGTCGCAATACAGGGCAAATTTATCCGATGAACATTTAAAGTCGCTACTTGTGATTAGCATTTCGAAATTTGAACCTCAATTTAATCAGATTTTAAGAATGCAAAAAGAGTTAAATCATTCACATTAATTGTCTTATTATAATTTGTGATGAAAATATGAGCATTTGCTGCTACTGTCTGCTGTCATTAATATATGATAATTTATTCTCACGTACTTTGTGTTTAGTTTATGAAATTCTGTGCTTTCAATAAAACTCATACACCTAGAGCTATTAATTTCTCATTTTATCCGGCCCGTTGAAAGTGCTGAATTACCTAATGTGGCCCGCATTTCCAAAAGTTTGGAGACCCCTGGACTAGAAGATAAACGAAGAATGTAATTTGCCGACCGATTTCATGTACAATAGAAGAGCAGTATTAGCGAAGATAACCGATTCGTAGGATGTTTAATGATGCTGTATTTAACTTCAGGATATGTGCAGCGTCAACTGAAAGGCGAAGATCTTGAATGACGAGCATCAGGAGGCGGTTGCCTGTTTTACATCCCTATCCCGAATTTCGGCCAAAGCAAATGAGAAAGCTTTTGAAAACACATGTCATAATGGCTGGCACAGATCTTGTTGGAACTTCTCGAAGACAAGTCTAGAGCTTCAGAAACTTGCTCGCTTCAGCGAGAAATAAGACTGCAATCAGTGCTAAATACGACTGAAAGACTCACTGATCTCCCCTGAGAGGTTTGGAACAAGAAGATTGTTACTTGAGCACTCGTCAGATGTCTGCGATTGCTTATTCAACCCATACGCAGTCACCCCGTATCTGGTATCCTCCATTCAGAATCAGAAACAGCACCATGTATTTTATCCCACTTAACATGAACTTATATGTTTTGACAATAATAATTCATTCCGCTAAAATCCAAATATCTTAAAGAAGCTATAAGCTGAAAGAATTTTTAACTGGTGATTTTTCTCTTCTCCACAGCATCCAGACTGGCTCTGGAGCTAACCCAACCTCGATCCAATGGCTACCAGGGGCTATTTCCCTTTGAGTAAAGCAGATGGAATGTTAAGCTGGTCACTCACATCCATCTCATGCCAAGATCAAGAATGGTAGACTATACCTCCACTCCATCTTCATGGTATGGTACTCAATTAATTAATCAGAGGGACAACTTTACCCTTACCGTACCTTTTCAATATTTATCTCCACGGAAAATTCTGCAACTATATTATTCAAACCGTGTACTGAGTATTTTACAAAATCTTCAGATCTGGCCAGTAGTATCTCATTTTCCACATCACAGCATCAATGATAAATATTCTGTCTGAAATGCTTCCATGTCTGGTCAGTCTCCATTTCTGTATTATTTTGTTCATATATGGTAGATAATTGGGCCACATGGTAGCGTAGTTGGTTGAGGTACTATGCTACAAGCTGAAAGGTTGCAGGTTAAATTCCTAACGTGGTCACTGGATTTTTCAATTTATTTAATTGTTCCAGTCGCACTATGGCCCTGGGGTTCACTCAACCTCTAACAGAAATGAGGACGAGGAATCTTCCTAGGGTATAGGGCAGCCAGCGCATAAGGCTGACAACCTGGCCACCATCTGTGAGCTGACTGTCTAGAAAAAGTGGGAGTATTTAATGTCTCACAGTCCTATGGGCTTTCATGGCCTGTTACAGGGATAGCTCTATCTTACTTTTTATGATGACAAAGTGCAGTCTTGTCTCATACCTCTGTTAATTTATTCCTATTCATAGATTTCTGACTACTATTACTGCCATCAAATTGTATCCCTCTCATACACTGCCATACCAGGTGATGGGTATATTACATTCTATAAGAATTTCAATCAATTTATTTCCATTAATTTTGCCAAATGCTTTTTTTTTTGTAATCTATGATGGATTTGTATATTATATTCTCTGTTTCTAGATAACGAGTTTTAGACAAATGTATCCAGCAAGATCTTTCACTGCAGAATCCATGCTGCTGTTCTCCATTTTTATGAATGGTAGTATTTTTTTACTTTACTCTTAATAATACTTACACATATTTTATAGCCAGCATTTAATAACCTCCATAATTTTTCTAATTTTTTATATTCTATTTTGTGTATTCTTTGTCTATGTCTACATAATACAAAGGAAATTAGTCGAATAGAAGAATAAAGGCAGAAAACTAATTAATATCATTAATTAATATACATTCAATAATTTGTACAAATCACATTACATACAAACTTATTCAACTGTACAATGCACAATAACTTGAGCATGAAGAGTGATAACTATTTATACTTTCACACGTACTTATAAATCACCCAGGCAAACATACTTCATCCACACTAATACCAATCCACTATATTAAATTTTTAATACATTCTTATCTGTCAACAAATCAACCACTGTAAATTAAAGTGATATAATAATTTGGATTAAAGTATATTAATAACAAAATAAATACATTTACTTTAAAACAAATAAATAACAGTAAAATACAAACATAATACAGTGGGATTAAGGCAATATCAAAATATGAATGTTGCTGACTGACTGCTACATGAGAACGGCACTGACTTCATTCATGGCTGTCCAACTCCTTGCTCTCAACGTAAGGTTGTGTCTTTCACATAAATTTACAATTCCTCAATTCAACATAACATTAATCTGCACCTAAAGAGGAGCTGAATACAAAATTTCCTTTTTAAGCAAATACTTGCTTGGGTTTAGATGACATACAGTTTCATTCTCTCACTAGATGGTGCATAATTTGGGCTTCTTTCAAAACAGGAAGAAAAGTAACTTTAAGCACTCTCTTTGAACACCACACACCAATTGCCTGATACCACTGTCTCAGATGCTATAAATGACTGATTGCTGGCAATCAGTCTGGTAAAATAACTGATGGGTTTCGAGTCAACACAGCTGCTGCAGTTATATGCAAACATCTGCTGGTCAAAGAAAGAAATGATAGCAGTATTTCCTCCATACCAGATACAATGGTCATACCAATGTGGCCACAGTGACATGAAAGCAAAAGAGGGATGTTTCCATGGTAGGTGGAACAATAATAACGGAGAAAGAGCTACAACATGAATAGTGAACAAAACAATTTGTCGAAAGAACTTGTACAGAAACAATGCTGCAGTGTGGCCATCTATGGCAAAATGCTGTGAATCCACAAATCTACAAATGTGTATGGAACACCACAAAATTTTGTATTCTCACTACAGCAAGTGTTCAAACTGGTGTCTGTTGTGTTGCACACACATGTGAATACAGTGCCAACATCACTGAAGTAATGGATACTGTCCTGAAGTGCATGAGTGTTTCAAGGCCAGTCACTGTGAACCATGGATTTCAAGTGGGGGCATGCAATAGGATAGTTGGTTGGGGCACTATGCTACAAGCTGGAAGGTTGCTGGTTTGATTCCCGATGTGGTCATTCGATTTTTCAATCTACTTAATCCTTCCACCCACACTACGGCCCTGGAGTTGACTCAGCCTCTAACAGAAATGAGTACCACGAATTTTCCTTGGGGTAAAGGGCAGCCAGCACGTGAGGCTGACAGCCTGACTGCCATCTGAGCCGGCTAACTAGAAAATGTGGGAATCTTGACATCTCACAACCCTACAGGCCCCCATGGCCTGTTAGAGGTATAGCTTTACCTTCTTTTTTTCTGCTATGGATTTCAAGTGATCCCATATGAAAACATCCAATTATGTGAAGTCTGGGAAATGCAGTGGACATTTCAGTGGTCCTCCTGGACCAATCCACCATTGAGGTAAAAAGTGACTGAACCACTGGCACTGAATGTGCAAACCTTTGTGGTGTTCCAAATGCATTTGTAGTTCTGTGGACTTGCAACCTTTTGCCATAATTAACCATACTATAACAACATAAGTTCAATATTTCTGTTTCATGTTGTATGTTTATCCTTTGGCCCCTTATACCAGTAACATACCCCTTTTCATCATTCTGGCAATATCACTCTAACTTCTTACTACCGACACTTGAAGAATGTAGTGCTGCAAAACTTGTTCTAGGGGGAAAAAACTCCCAACACCTGGAAGTGAAAATACATGAGTTGCAACAAATTTTCCCTTTTTACATTTCACCATGTCTTGCCAAATAAACAAGGTGTCATATGACCCTGAATTTATAAGTCACCCTGAATAAAATAATTAAAAAATAATTAATTATTAATAAAATTGGTAAACAATAACAGGCCTATAAGTCACTTTATGCTATTTTCATTGTCCTGTATATAGGAGTCCACAATATTACACATAAATTAAAAACAAACTGAAATAAAAAAGGTAGAACATACTTTAAAAGCCTATATATAACAGAGTTAAACATCCTATGGGTTCTGATGTATGGGTAGCTATAAAGTTTCAAGAATTACCATAGTAGAGTGCTGATGTCACATCCTGCCTCAAACCTGTCACTGTTTTGTGTTTTTCAACTACTGTTTGATTGATTGTGCATTTGTGTGCATTTATTGTATGCCTAACAGTACTAAGTAAAATTAAAGTACTTCATGTTTCAATGACATAAACATGCCTGATATTTTTTTTGACCTGCAAATTGATCTAAAATTTCTCACAAAATTGAAGGAAATAGCTGCTGAAAGTTATAATTCTTGGAAGAAGACTATGGGGAGTCTGCAGTGTCAAAGGACTGAGTTTCTGAGCGGAATACATGATTTCATGAAGGAAGAGAAGACGTCCATGATAATTCTTGATCTGGCCAGCTCACAATAGTGAAAACTGATGAAACTGTTGAAAAAGTGTGGCGAGTGGTTTGCGCCAATCAAGGAATGACTATCAGAATGATAGCAGCAGAATTAAGGATGGATACAGAAAAATGTTTGTAAAATTTTAACCACCAACAATGAAATGAAAATGGCCTGTGCTATGATGGTGTCAAAAACTTGACTGATGACCAATGACTAAGGGAAGAACAAGTTTACAAAATTTCTTCGATAAGGTTACATATTTTTTAATAAACAAGTAGCTGTCAGCTCAGAATTTGTTCCCAAGGATAAAATGTCAATTTTACCTCAAAGTTCTACAGCATGGTAGAAAGAGGTGAAAGAGGCGGAAAAGGTGACCTGCGGTCAGACAAGAGCACCATCTCACATTGTAGTATCTGTGAGGCAATTTCTGATGCAACAGTGTCCCTGTTCTCCCAGTTTTGCTCCATATGACTTGTGTGTCCAGCTACAGAAACAGGGACATTTTGAGTCACTGGAGAAGGTTCACCAGCATACATCACACACACTGAAAGTGATATCAGTACATTCACCCCAGAAATGACTACCAAATATAGTAGGAAGTAGCTTTGTGTACAGCTGAAAAAGGGAAGAAGATAATAGCAATTAACTGGTATGATGAATTTTAACATACAAAGTCATTCCTGAAACTTTCTAGCTACACCTCACACAGAGGTTATCTCTGTACAATGTATGGATAATGATTTTTAGGAATGACTTTGTAAGTTAAAACTTACCCATTAATTGTACCATTACCATTCCAGGTCTTTTCTATCGGAGTTCAGTGTTCTATTCTTCAGTTTATAAAGACTACAATATAGGCAAATAATATCAATTCCAAAATTAAATAATAAAATATATAACATGTTCCCTTCTATGGCCTATAAATTCTATAAAACATAATATACACTATTCATATTTTTGTTTCACTGGATGAAACATGAACAGATGCAAACATTAATGTTACATGAAAAATTGAACTGGAACCTGAATTGACATTACCCAGATGCCAAACAGTTGGACAACCATGACATAAAGCATATGTAAAGCTATCTCATCAGGTATTTGTGACAACTTCTAAACTGCGGTCTGTTGAACTAACTACATTTCCTGCTTCATGTATCACAAATTGAATTGGACCATCATTTCCCAATACCATTTCAATGGGATCACCATCTTCATTCAGCATTATCTGCAAACAGGTCAATCTTATTAGCAGAGAATCAAATGCACATAAACTATTTCATTGCCCCTTAGCCATCTATAAATTATAAGCAGGCAAACTTTGCAGTATCACTGCTGATGTCAAAACCAAAAACATATCAGACACCATGCAGCAAGTAACATGGAATAAATTGATACAATGGGTGAAACAAGAGTTCAATATACCAATACACATAAACCATGTACTGGCCACCTGCCTATCCATGTATATATGAGTATGAGTATGAGGGGTGAGCCATAAAACTGATCCTAGCACTGCGACCTTCAATGGTCTATTGTGCTTATCCATCTATGTATCAATCTGTCCATCGCTCCACCTGCATAATCCTCCATCCAGTCTATGTATTCATTCCTCCATCCACATATGTATGTGTACATCAGTCTTCTGTGTCAATCATTATATCAGTGTCTAAGAACAGAAAAAGACACTTTCTGAAATGTTACAGATTTTTATTCTGTACTGACATGACTGTCCAAGAAGAATCTGTAACACTGGATATCACAGAAATTGTACTTCAAGGAGTATTAATCACCTCATCAAATTATTACAAAAGGTGTTCTAATACTGGGGGATATAATTCCACAACTTCACTGACAAAGTATTCAATTAAGAACAAAGCCTCACACAATTTCTGGAATAATGTAGAAAGACTGATACTACTCATTACACTACTGAGGCCACAAAACAGTCCATTCTTTGCACTAAAGAAAAAGATGTAGCTGAACACTACCCTGGCTTAAACACTCAAAACACATTGATGCGTAAACTGTTGTTGCTGTCCTTGGTACAGACCTCAAATGAGAAGGAAATGTAGCAACACCATGAATACAGCAGAGATTTACTGTGTATCCTGCTAATATGACAGTGAAAGTACTGTGATTAATTTGGTAATGAGTGAAAGTTCTGCTTTCTCAGATTTGTTTTAAGGTCTGAATTCCATTACTCTTACAATGAGGTATATAATTCAAAAGTAATAGTTTAATCCTTCAAAAGAACGAAAACTTGCAAAAAGTTCATTTAGGCCTGTAAATAACCACAAGAATGTTCTCACAGAGTCACATGTATCAAAGCCTGTCAAAATGGGGCAGATAATGGGTTGATTTCCTGACAAAAAGAGACAATCCAAGACAATATATTCTAACTGGAGAAAAGGTACAGGGCATTCAGATATGGCTGAAGATCGACAAATTGTTATATGCTTGGCACAAGGGCTCACTTCAAGCAGCTCTTATAAAATATGTAGTATGGTATTACTGCAATAATGGGTAATAAAATTCTGTATAAGCAGAGACTGATGCACAAGTCAGTGCTGCTTACACAGAAAACACCTGTTCTATTTCCTCTTTGTCACCCAGTAACTACTGCTGTCACACAGCAAGCAGCAGGTTTCCATCTCACACCTTACATTTGAAAGCATCTACTTGTTTTCTGTCACCTACTGACAACTGTTGGAAATTTAACTAACTTCCAGTGATTTGATCAAAGAAAATAGGGGCAGTGTTCAAGTGTTAATAATTCTATTGTCATGCATGACATCTGAAACCTATCAAACTAAAATTAATATATAATGAGGGCCTACTCAGAATGTAAAAATATCAAAGGAAAAGTTTTATTTTCAATTGTTCTCTGTGGAAAATTCTCTACTTGCTCACTTGGCTGTCCAACATTTCAGCCATTTTAAGATGCCACTGTCACCTTGACCAGGAATATCAAACTGAAAGACACCTCCACCACACACAAACTTAATGAGTATGAAAACAAGACACAAACACCGTCTTCGTAAACCATTTGCTAACCTCTCATGCTTTCAGAAAAGCGCATATTATGCTGGGATCAACATTTTTAATAACCTGCCATGTGATCTCAAAGGTCTTATGAATGAAAAGACATGATTTAAAATAGAACTGAAAGGATACTTAAATACACATTCATTCTACTCTGCTGATGAATACCTCTTGTCTAGAAAATACCTTATGTATCATTAAATAGCCTTGTGTGTAGTCACTCTGTAGTCTTGGTTTCTCTTGCATGAGAACTCCATTGGGACTATACATATGTTTTGAAAAGACATGATTTATTCCACATCCTACAGTCATTTTGACTAACTTTGGATCCATGGAATGCAATGCAATGTAATGTAATGTAATGTAATGTAATGTAAAAAAAAATGTAAAAAACTTAACACACCTGTTCTGCATCGCCATATACTATGTGCTGCTCTCCACCAGTCCCATCAAATGAGAGTTCCTCACCGCCATCTGTTATCACAATCTGTTTCTGGTTCTCTGTTACCTGAAGTCAATACAAGTAACTTCAATAACAAAATAAAATATACAACACTGAAATTACAGAAAAGCTGATGTCACTGTGACACATGCAATCAAAATGAAGACTTAAGAAAAAAACAAGGAAAAAAAAAAGCTAATCAAAAGATAAAAATGCTACTCATTTGTGTCATGTACCAATAGACACCATCATTGTGTTACTTACATGGTACCCTGCTGAACGAATGGCATCAACTAAAGCACTTAGGTTGCTCTGGTTCACTTCATCAGAGTCTTCCACTGACTCCTGTGTCTACAAAGTTATAAAAATTATCACTAACCAATAAATATTCCAAGGTACGTTTTATTGCACTATGAGTCATAATACATGGGGAAAAAAATACAATGGAGCAATTACAATTATGGTAGCAACATAATCATATCTCATAATTACATTTTCATTAATAATGCTCAAATGCAGGAGCATCATAATGCAGACTCTAAAGTGTGACTTAAATCAATATATTACAACAGAAAATGTTACAATTAATTAACTCAGAATAATTTGAAACTTAAAACGTCAGCTAAATGATAAGTTAAACATATTTCGGAATTATGGTAGGTCAATTTTTAATCCCCTCACAGATCAAAATCCATGGCAATTTATACATTCCAGCATACTAGTATTTGAATTGTGTTGCAGATCTGTAGATAAAGTAACACATTACTTAAATATTTCAAATATCTGAATTATAGGCATTTCAATGGTAACATTCATGCCAGAAAATCATCTAATACAAAACATAAACAACAGAAAATTATGTCAATTGGAACTAAGAGACACGAAAGAATTAATTTTAGCACAGTTCCAGTTTCTAGATTAAAATGTCCAAAACATAGCCATGAGAGAAAACAGTGGACACTTCCTGCATTTTTAAGGGTAACAAGATACAAACTGCCCACATAAATGCTTCAATTCCGCTTATGTTTAGCAAAAGAAAGTTTAGTGTTATTATTTACCACACATAAGAATTATAAGCCAGAGATATTTCAAACTACTATTAACTGCTCTTACAATTCCAACACTAAGCGATACAAAATAAAAGGCACAGAACACATATTTTCAGACAAAACAAAAATGACTGGTTACATGCATGCAGATTCTTACTGAAAAATGGTTATGTATAATAAATATGAACCTAGGTATTGTCACATCCTCTTTTTTAACATCTGAGCATTTGTGCATTCATTGCAGTATGAAAACTATCAGAATGCTGTTGCTGATACAGAAGCTGACGTTGGGAAAGGAAGGTGAAGGATGATGCAGATTGGTTGTAAGAGGCACAGTCTCCAGAAGGACAGGTCAAGTCATCAGGCACAATGGATTCAGTGTTATGCATACTCCATGGCTGCAATGTTGGCAAGCTCCTGTTTGTTTTCTCAAACAAGAAGGAACACCGAATCAGTTAAACAATACATATACACAATACACAATATGTAACAATGTTAGAAAACTTTCAAGTAAAAGTGGCTTTGTACAAGTGCTGATTACATTACTAAATCAGCCTCATTGAGTAGTCTGGCTCAATTGTGCACAATTCTGGAACTGCACTGTATAACAGTGGGCAATACATTAATTGATAATGGTGGACTCAAAGACACGCATGTCACATGGAATAAACCAAAACTCCTACTTTACATTTTGGAAATGACCTAAACTGAATGTAAAATGAAGGAAATGAATAAAATCAAGAAACAGAAATTTATCAAGGATATGAAAACAAATACATGTATAGGGATTAAAAGTGTCAAACTAATGAAGTGCAGTAACAAAATGGAACTGGGCCCTTCTTGAGAAGCTGCCAGTTTTGCAGCTATTCAAGAATTTCCCAAACATTTTATGGAACCTTAAGGTTCATTACTGTGTTTACAAGAGCCCTCCAATGGTCCCTATCCTGTGCCAGATCAATCCAGTCCATACCATCCCAACCTATCTCTCTACAATTAACTTTAATATTATCTTCCCATATATGTCTAGGTGTTCCTACTGGTCTCTTTCCTTTGGCATTTCCTACCAAAATCCTACATACATTCCTATTCTCCCCTAGTCATACTACATGCCTTGCCCAACTCATCCTCCTTGATTTGATCATTATAATTATACTTGGCAAACGGTACAAGTTATGAAGCGCCTAATTACGCAGTTCTTTTTTTCCAACCTCCTATCTTTTCATCCCTCTTCAACCCATTTATTCTCCTCAACACCCTGTTCTCAAACACCCTTAATCCACGTTCCCCCCTTAATGTCACAGACCAAGTTTCACACCCATATAAAACCACAGGCAAAATTATAGTATTGTATATTCCAATTTTTACATCTTTAGACAGCAGATGAGAAGACAAAAGGTTCTGGACTAAAAGGTAGCAAGCATTACCTGAATTCAATCTCCTCTTAATTTCCTCCTGAATCAAATTTTGTCATTCCTTAATATTTAACTGTGTCACATTTTCAAAGGGACTGTCAGTTATCTTCATGTTATGGTTTTGCCCTGCATTCTGGTGATGAGACAGCAGCATTTACTTCTAGACCAACCTCTTATTAGTGTCAATTAGTGTTTCCGTGTTTTTCTTTATGGCATCTATTTTATCTCCCAATATATTTACATCATCAGTACAGTCCAGCAGCTGATGTGACCCATTTAATTTCAGTCCCACCTGGTCCTCCTGGACCTTCCTAATTTCATATTCTGAAGCAAAGTTGAAAAGCAATGGTGATAAAGCATCTGCTTATAATTCTGTATTTAAGCATCCTGTTGTAAGTCATACTGAAACATCTATGTATAACACAGTCTGTCAATAATGCAACAAACTGTTCTTTTTTTTTTTACACTTAAACTTTCAACACATCTTTCAGTCATAGATGGTCATCTGCAGGTGTCTTAATATATTAAAACTGTTACACTGCATTAATATATTAAAACACCTGCAGACGGCCATCTAGGGCCGAAACATGTTGTGTTAAAAGTGTAAGTGGAAGAAAAAGGAACAATTTGTTGCATTACTGACAGACTGTGTTATACATGGACAATTTTAAAGCATCTGCTTGTTTTATGCCATTCTAGATAGGAAAATTATCATACAAACATTTACGTATACAGGCTTTACTGTAGGTTTCATTTCAACACATTTTAGTCAGTCTAACTAGTTTCATGGGTACCCCCAAACTCTAAGAAAATACTATATAACACTTCCCTCCTAACTCAATCATAGACTTTCTTGAAGTCTATGAATAGCTGATGAACTGTTCCAATGAACTCCCATTTTTCCTCCACTATCTGATGAATGCAAAAAATCTGATAAGTGTGCAGTATACTGCACTCTTAAAATTTACTCAGGTTATTTTAAAGTTATCACAATAATTCTGATGTGCTGAAGAAACTGAATATATATATTCCTTATTCCCACATACAGTACAAATTAATGTGAAGTCGTTAATACTCAAAACAGAAATTAATGGCAATATTTTCTTAAACTGTAATATAGCAATGTTAATCATTTTAATTAAAATACTAAAGAAATTACTTATATGGTGCCTTTGGGGGAGAATGCGCACACAGATATGTAATACAATCTTACAACAGCTCAGATTATGATGTGCCAAATGCGATGATGATCAAACAGTAATGAAGAACAGTACTCTTCCATTTTCCATATATTTAGTTATCAGCTTCAAAACATTTTTCAGACATTAGGGATTCTCACACTATATAATCATCATTACTGAAGCCTGTCCCATTAGCATTGCATCTCAAGAGGACAAATCCTTTTCTTAGGCTCTTCTGACCATAGCAAGTAACACTGTTTAAGGCTGTCTTGTGAGGCGATATACCATAAAAGTCCAATTTTGTTCTCTTAATAAATGTCCCTCAAATTGTAATTAAGAACAATTTTGGGTAATTTTTCTGCTCTTCACTCTCCTGCTGTTGGGGAATCAACTCTTCTGCTCCCTTTTGACACAATTTTAAAAGACATAATGGCGCCGTTCAACTCAGATGATTTATGTGAAGCTCCAAAATTCTCTCTCACTGACAAGGACTGACTCTGGTTCATTTCAGCCATACTTCTAACAATTTCTCGAATTTTTGCAAGATATGAGACCGCCTATGTGGTCTTGTGGTTAGTTCTTGGCTATAGATCCAGAGGTCCGGGTTCGACTCCTGGCGATACCATACTTTTTCTTAGAAGTAGTGGGTCTGGAACGGGGTTCACTCAGCCTCGTGATGATAATTGAGCTATTTCAAGGAAAAAGTGGCTCTGGTCTAGAAAACCGAAATTAATGGCCGTGGGGATTCATTGCGCTGACCATGCGACACCCTCTATCTCCTAAAGTTGGCACTAACTTCACCGACAAGCAGTGGTCGCTCAGTCAGTATAGTTCGCTTGCAGACTAAAAAAACCACGGACTTGGTTTTTTGTTTATGAGGTTCTTACACTGGTGTACATGAAGATTACTCTCTTCTGGGATGTGAAACATATAGCTTTGTAGATTATTACCATTTCAGACAAACATACTGCTTCCATCTTCAGAGTAGAAGAGGCAACCATGAAGACAAAGGTAGCACATTAATTTGAAATGCTGGTAACTAACTACCAGACTACATACTATCATATCCCAAAGACAGTAATTCATTTCTTGTAAGAGTTGTCATTTCAAGAAAGCTGCCTACACTGAGCAAAACATTTCACAATTTTCTGAATGTTTTTGTAACTGTATTCTATGTTAATACTGCAATTTTAAGTCACATTGCCAATACTGCATGTGTTTCCATTGTGGTGGTGTCCATATGTTGTAAAACAAAAACATTTTCCTTTATAGAAAATGCCTCTCTCTTCTCAAAACCTTTATCATAATCACAAAAATGAGGCACAGTTGGAATATACACTTCATCATTTCAGAACATATTGTTTGCCAATATCAATACCCGGCATAAGCCACTTCGTTTCTATGAACCGCACTCAAAGCTACCATTCAATGGAGTAATTACAGCAGTGCCAGATATGATCATTTGTCAAAACCATAAGATCCACTACTATGTGTCCTGTCACCCCCAGATTACTTTACCTACTCAACAGTACATGACACCAATAAACAGATCAACATGTAAGTTTGAATCTCAACACAAGTAAACTTTGTTCTTGTCATGATATAAAAACATAAATATATAACATTCAAGTTTCTCTGAATATTTGTAATAAAAGGATGGAAGAAGCACACTAAAAGCCAAATGAGATATGATGACATGGTAAATTAAAGGTAAAATGTCATATAGTAGAAACCCTCAAAGAAAAAATTCAGGGGACCCAACTGCACACATGTAGCATGCTTTACCACAGTGGTACTTAGGATTAATTTTCTTATGTGGATACTCTGTAACAGGGAACTTCATAAGGTAAAGTTGCTTTACTTAGAAAACTCAATACAAAATTTATATCCCCACATTACTACTAAAACTGATACTAAACCAAGCATGCATAAACAACTCTTAGGTATCAAAATTGGAAATTACATACCTGTACTTCACGGCCATCACTGACAATTTCAATGGTCTGCCCTGGCTGCTGCATCATCTGTGCTGCTTCCTCATGACTCAGAATCTCATAGTTACCGTCTTCTGATGGACGAACAAACTGGATTTCACCTGTTGATGCCAGCTCAAGCAGAGCTGGAGCTGCATAACAAAATAGCAGGACCAATATTTCATACAATTCTTTTGACATATTTACTGTATTTATTTGCACAATTTGTGCCCCCCCCCACTTCTAAATGAAAAATTTGAGGGGGGGTTAGATACTGTCCTTTAACACTTGGCAAAATTTAAACCAATGCACTGTTTTCACATCAAATGTAAGGGCTCATGCTTTGCCATTAATACTATGGTGTACTTCACAGCCTGCTTTTCACAGTCTTGGGATTTTTGTTCCATAACACTTCGTTCATAATGTCATAAAATATACAATTATTTTCCATTCTTCTACCGATCATTCAACTGATTCTCCTTTCTGAGTTAATTTCCAAAAATAAATAAATAAATTTGTCCACGTTTTCAATAAGTACAGGAATTGGACAAAATAATGGAAACACTACAGATCAGATACTGTATACATTTCTGTATTAATATGATATTGGATCACCTTTTGCCTTGAACACAGTTGCAATCCTTCTTGGAATGGGCTCATACAAGTTTTGAACAGTCTAGCAGAATTTTAAACCACTCTTCTTGAGAAACATCTTCAAATTGTTTTAGAGATGTTGGAGGTTGGGATCTATCCCTCAATCTAGTGTCTAAAACTGATCAGAGTGGTTAAACGATGTTCAAATCTGGTGACTGTGCTGGCCAGGGAAGATGCTGAAGTTCACCTTCATGCTCTTCAAACTACGACTGAACAGTTCCAGCTGTGTGAATGGGGGCACAGTTGTATTGGAAAACTATGTTGTTCAGAAATAATGTCTGGATCATGGGATGGACCTGATTACCCAACCTGTCTAGGTACTCCCTTACAATAATTCAACCATGAAGGGTAATAACGGGACCAACAGAATACCGTACCATGATACTGGTGCCCAAACCATCCCAAAGCCTCCCTCGTTTCACTGTGGGAACCAGGCATTCTGGATTATAGGCTTCCTTGGGCCTTCTACAAACACAAACTCTTCCTGATGTATGGAACAGAATGAAGGATGACTCATCTAACCATATTAATCGTGCATTTCCAGTTGTCTGATGTCCAGTTTTCATGGTCGTGATACAGTCATTTATGCATCTGAGCATTACTTTCAGTAATCAGAAGTTTAGCAATTGCGGCCCTACCATGAATGCTAGATTTATGAAGCTCACATTCGACAATTTTTGTGGAAACAGTGTCTTCAAGATGAATATTCAGTTCTGCTGTCACCTATGTTGCAGTAGTTCTGCAATTTTTCGAGACAACATTTTTCAATATACAATGACACCTCTGTCAATGCTAATTTCTTCCCATTGCCCTTCTTCACTTATCTTGCCTTCCCATGACTTGTGTATGCCGATGTAACCTTAGAAACAGTCGCTCCTGGTATGCTTTATATTGTGGCAGTTTTTGTCACAGATGTTCCAGCTAAATGGGCACCAACAATCTGGCCTCTTTCAAAACTGGACAAGTCTCCCATTTTCCAATTCTTTCACATGGACTGTCACTCAATACCATCACTACTGCACTGCACAAGCACTACAGAGTACAAGCAAACAGAACATTCAGTATTACCAATCAAAGTTCTTTCAGTGTAGCCCAACATATTATGTTCCTCAGTTGCTTAGTTTTTCCATTATTTTGTCCACCACCTGAATGTCATTAACTTTTATCAAGGCTTATATAGGTTCCTTGATATCCTCATGGTCACCAACAATTGCCCAGACATGTCAATCACCAAGTGTCTCCTGCCAGCTGGTGTCACTACAGTCAGTTCCATGAAATTATGCTTTACCACCTCTAGAAAGGAGCTTAAAAACACTGATTCTTTAAATCAGACAAACAGAAATTCCTACTGCAGCACAAATACAAAAAGGTATAAAGCATACACTGAACTCCTCACCCCTTTCAAGTTCAAGTTATCAGGAAACACACAAACACAAATCCACTGTACAATGCTTAAAAAATATGATTTTAAGTGATAGGTTGATGGGCTAAACACATTACCTGGATCATGCTCCACAGCATTTGTAGAACTTGAAGTTTCATTTGCTCCACCTCTATCTACCATGTTGACTGCAGCTGCCAACAAGTTAACAGGACTCAATTCCTGAAGTTCATCTTCGGGAATTACACTTCCATCTTCACGCACATATTGCACCTTTGGACTAGGTCCCTCCAGATCCAGAAGAGAATCAGATGTTACATCATCTGTAAGTAAATATTTACTGACTGAAATAGAAACCCCAGCATGTTATTGTGAAAAAGGTCGACTTCCCAAATCCTCTTTTGTTACATCATTCATCTTGATGGTGAGCAAGCATGTGCATATACTCTAGTGAAATTTCTAAACAAAACTGTCACAAAATGACAATTAATAATAACAAGATACAACTACTTTGGAATTGAACATAGCTGAGCAGTATATCAGTCCAATCTACCGCACCCATTTTACAGCTGTAATCCACAATACATTTTGACTTCATAACAAGTTGTCTGTCTTCCAGTCACGCTTTCCAGTGTTCACAATTTCATCTGAATGAAGGGTGGAAAGCATTCTTATATCTCATTTGTCACACCACTTCATGGCCGCAAGCGAATCACTGGTCACTGACTGTACTTCATCTGCCCAAAGCTTTTGACACAGGGCTGGCATGCCCTTTCTGTTTTTGTATACTGTACCCACAGGAACTGTTCTTTAGTTTGTGAAGGAACAGGGATAAAACAAATACCACAAGACATTCTTATAACTGTCAGTATATTATACAAGCAAACAGAATTCTCAGACAGTTTTCACATGAGTACAGCCCAGGTTCTGCGGTCATGTAACATTGAAAAGCATATACATGACAGTAGGTTGTCAAGATACAAAGAGGCTGGTCACACTAGTGTGACTGTAGTATTGAAGGGGAGTGATTCCATGCTTCAGACAATACCACACATAGAAATAGTTTTCAAATGATATAAGTCTAATCTGAGCACCTTGAATAACTAGAACAGTAATAAACTGAATTGCCTGAACAGAGCCGGTGCCTGAATAACTGTTCACCAGTCATGTAAGAGATGGAGTAGTTCAGAATGTTGTGAAACATCCATGATATCATGCTGGTGTCATTTTTTTGTTATTGGTAGTGGTGGTGACTTTAAGTGACCTTCAACCCTCTCAATAAACATACATGTGGGAGTGAGACTGAATAGGGACCAACTGTAGACATAAGGTCCACTGATACAAAACATTCCCTAAAGACCTCCATAAAAGACCATGTTACACTATGTGTATTATCCCTTTCATATTCTATGTAATATTGTTCAGGCTATATTTTGAAAGCACGAATTACTTCAGAAAACTAACATGCATCCAAAACACATAGCAGGTGATTATTTAATAAGTTATACAATGCATAACTTTACTGTGAAACAGGATAATATGTACTGTAACAGATTTGATCAATGCACTGCCAGGCAACAGCTCTGTAGACATGGTCCAACATGCAACAATAGAGGAAGCTGTGTTTTCTGTAGGCCCATGTCTGTTCTGAGGCTATATACATTAGAGTGACAGAAATTTTTCAGGGCAATTATGAGTAGTAGTAGCAGCAGAAGCACACAAACAAACAAGCAAGGAAGCAAGCAGCAGGTTCGAGGAGTACAGAAGTCAGCCTGCGAAGATTTAACATGTGATCTGAAGAGTTTATCTGTGCTATAGTGCAGTGGTATTGAAAGTGTGTGATTTCGTGAGATTGTGTTATAAATCCACGAAGACTAGTGAAGACAGACTGAAGAGATTAGCGTGGAGTGCTTTGTAGTGTGTAAATCGGAAAGTGTTATAATTATTTGTAGCTACAACCTGTAAGTATCCAATAAATCTAATTACCAATCTGAACCCTGTTTTTAGTCACTAATACACATGACAATATGTAGGGAGAATAACTGATGCTTTTCATCTGCCTTTTGTTTCATAAATTTTGGAGAGAAAAAACACACTAATATCAACTTTTTATGACAGCAGTGCATCACGGCATTAAAAGGCTTGAAAGACTTAGGCTGTGGAGAGTGCCTGGGAGTTTAAATCCTAGTTCTCAAGAGGTTAACAACACATTAAAATGTACAAAATATGATAAATACTTTATAAACATGAATTTCTTTCTTAAAGCAACATTCTTTGTACCAACAGTACAGCTAGTATATATAAGAATCTGAACTCACCAAGATGGTGCTGATTTGCAGTATTTGCCAGATCAGACTCATGCTCTGGTCCAGGTGGTTCCACTTGAATTGTTAACTGGCCATCTGGTCCAACTTTCTGGATCACAGTTGCCACAACAGGCACCTGCACATGAATGCACACAGATGTTTGGTCTTCTCACCTGACACCAAGAACACCTCAGAGCTATATGCCAATGTATATTCATGCTTGTTACCTGTCCAACCAAGTGGTTTTCACTTCATCTTGCTCTTAACAAACTTTCAAAATAAAGATCTTTTGCAATATAATGTGTCTATACACACAGCTTTTTCTGTCTGCAGGCACATACATGCACATATTATGTTTTCAAGGGTACTATATTTAAGTTAATCTAGACAGTCATTCAATTTCAGTTTTACCGTATCAATATTCTAAATTTTCATTCATTTATCCCTGTCACACCTAACACAGTAACACAAGGTAAAATTAAAACCACTGCCATGGATAGGACATTGAAACATAAAGTACAATGGGACTTTAAAATAAAATAAAAAAAAAAACAATAAAGAAGAAAAGGCATTACAAATATTATTTTTTTGGACATTATCCATCATCCTGTCTTTATCTAAATACACAGTCTTGTTTATTTTTCAAAATACATTTCAGAGACTGGATTTTGTCTCTGTCTTCAGGAGAAACCTATTCAGCTGGGTTCACTCGATAGAGCCAGTCCCCATCTTCGGACATCTGTGCCAGCACCAAGATGGGGTATACAGACAAGCCTGACAGCATCAGAAAAAGGCAGTTGTTTGACAAAGGAATACAATACAAAACACCTGTCACCCAGGCAAGCTTCAACCAGCAGAATTAATATAAATACAACAATTTACACCACTGCACTCACATTTTTCTACAAATAAAGGGTACACATAAGCAGAATACAGTGACTAACAAATCCTTCTGTAAGTGCAATGCACGGTTATTACCTTAATTTGTACAGCTTTAACTGAGTTCCCATTATTTGCATTACTGAAGTTTGGAGAGACAGTGATTTTGCCAGCAGACTTCAGATCTTCAGCTGTAGCTGGAACCAGCATCTGACCAAGAGAAAAAAATAGTATGTTACTGCAGAAACAGAAAGCCACATTAATAAGAGCTACACTGTTTTGAACATATCAGCAGCTGTAAGTACCAAAGAGGAAAAAACAGATTAAGGGAAGAATTTATGATCCATATTTTCTTTCAAATACTATAATATATACAGTGAGGTTAGCAAGAACTATAAATAATTATACAATATTAATCTGAATAATTTTTCAGCACAAGATCAATTTGTTTCACATTGGCAGTTTTTGTAATTTTCAACCTGTAAAATATGCTCTATAAAAAATCGATAAAGCATAAATTTCTACAAGACAGAACTTCAATTATAAATATCACAATCTATGACTATGTTCTAATACATTGGCTTAAACTTCCAAAATTTCTCCACACACATCTCACTCATCCTAAAGGCAGCCAGACAGAACATTTACATACAATATAATCATGACAGATTAAATATAATTTATAAAGAAGGCCCCAATATGGTGACAAAAATAAGTCACACAGTCAGTTTCTTAAATTTTCACACATGAAAAAATCTCATGTATAACGATGACATTATTATGAGCAACTTCTAATCAGCTGTGATCATATTTTTTGCAAGCTGATTTTTAACAGCATTGGACATCGAAACAGAAAATAGAAGAACCCATAAAAAACAGATCGGAAAATAACAGTGTGCACATACAACATCACACTGGCTGGGTCCAAACAACACAACAGAAATAAGAACCAGATCATAACCAAAACAATGTCAGTAAATTACCATGTAACCATAATTATGACAAACATTAATACATATGAAAACATGAGACATCTAAACACAACATAATAAAAATTTAAGTCATCATCTAAGGGTATTTTATAAATTTAAACCTTTGTTTTTATATTTTATACTTCTGTATAAACATCTGAAAACATTAATTAACATTTAGTTTTTGTCCTACTTGAATGGCTATATGAAACAGAAGTGGCTTTAATTTTGATGAAAAGCTGAAAATCTGATGCATTAGTAATAGTTGTAATACTGTGACATATATATCCATACAGAATGCAATTCAATAGTTTAAGAATAAGTAATTAGTGTATATCTGCCTGATGATGGTTTTTCATAAGCTGAAACATGTAGCAAGATATTATTGAAATCAATAAACTTGTTATACACAGTTGATGTGGGTGAAATTCTGAGAGTTGTGGTGTGACAAACAAACAAATAGTATAAGTTAACACAACAGGATGCATTCCTTGAAGATACCTGCTTGTTATCAGGGGCTGCCATGACTTTGACTAATACTGGTATCCCCTTTGCGGGTTTAAGCAATGCAAATGGTGTCTGACCAGCTTGTTTAGCAGTTTGCATCGCCTTAGTGTTGATAGGATCAATAAGTACACCCGCAGAAGCACTCTAAAACACAAACATATACTCATGTGAATGAAATTTAAAGAAGAGAAGAAATAGAGAACCAACTTAACTAAAACCATATGTTTACTTGCAAGTGATATGTCATTAATATATATATATGTACATACATCATAAGACATTAATTTTCAACTACTCTAACTAGCTAACTAACTTCATGGAGCCAAGCCCTTCTTGAGAAGTCACCAGTTGTGCAGCTACTAAAAAACTTCCCAGTATTTTATGGAACCTAAAGGTTCATTATCATGTTCACAAGAGCCCTCCACTGGTCCCTACCCTACCTCACCATCCTATCTTTCTAAGATTATTTTAATATTATCCATCCAAATATGTCTTGGTCTTCCTAGTGATCTCTTTCCTTCTGGCTTTCCCACTAATATCCTATATCCATTCCTCTTCTCCACAATTCATGCTACATGCCCTGCCCATCTCATCCTCCTGACTTAATCATTCTAATCATTCTAATCATTCTACAGGGTGGGGTGCAGAAACTTCCTTTTTGTGAAGAGGCATTGTGAAGGGAGGGGAGGTCGCAGAAAAGTGGGGATAGGCTCGGTGAACACAGCAGTCATGGAAGTTTCTGTCTAATACCCCTCAGTAGGAAACATGAGGTGGACGAGTAAGCAGCGTGTGTTTGCTGTCGATGCCTGTTTTTCAAAAAACCATTCCTATGTGGCGGTGCAGCGTGCGTTCCATACTCACTTCGGAATTAAGACCAGAGGTCCAGTTCCCTACCAGAAATTGATTGTTTTGTGGGCAGAGAACTGTAGGAAACCAGGAGTGTGATGAAAAAATCATCAGGACGACAATGGACTGTTACGACACCAGAAAATGTGGAGGCAGTTTGACAGTCGATTTTGAGATCTCCAAGATGCTCCGCTCACAAACATGCAGTCGCCCTAGACATATCCAATTGTTCAATGCGCCAAATTCTCGAACATCTTAATTTCCATCCCTATAAGATGGTTGTTGTGCAAGAATTGTCACCACGTGATTTCCAGAACCAAATAACAGCGTGCGAAACGTTATTGGAAACTTTACCCCCTGACGCACTTGTTTTCTTTAGTGATGAGGCTCATTTTCACCTATCCAGCTATGTCAACAAGCAGAATATGCGCTATTGGAGTGGTAACAATCCCAGAGAGCTCCATGAAAGGCCACTTCACAGTGATAAAGTGACAGTATGGTGTGCGCTGTCGAGAATTGGGGTTATTGCCCCTTATTTTTTTGAAGAAGACAATCATGCAGTTACTGTCAATTCACAGCAGTATGTGGACATGATTAAAAACTTTTCTGAACCAGCTCTTGAAGAAATGCATCTAGGAAATGTCTGGTTCCAAAAGGATGGTGCCACGGCCCACACAGCCGAGCTTCAATGACAGTTCTGAGGGCAAAGTTCCCCGGACGGCTCATCTCACTCNAGTGCATAGAGAACGGTGGCCACCACCTTCAAGATATTTTGTTTAAACCTACATGATTTAAAAATTTAAAGTATGTTCTTTCATTAGCTAAACATAAATTTTGTCTATCAGCAACAATTTTTCTTTTATTCGCCTTCAAAAAAGGAAGTTTCTGCACCCCACCCTGTACCTCACAAAGAGAACAGGTTATGAAGCTTGTCATTATGCAGTTTTCTCCAACCTCCCATCACTTCATCTCTCTTTGGCACAGATACTCTCAACACCCTCAGTCTCTGCTCCTCCCTTAATGTCAGAGATGAAGTTTCACACTCATACAGAACCATAGGCAAACTTACAGTTTTGTATATTCTAATTTTTATGTTTTAAGACATTAGATGAGGAGACAAAAGGTTCTAGACTGAATGGTAGCAAGCATTACCCAAATCCAATCTCCTCTTAATTTACTCTTAAATCAAATTTTAACTTATTATTGTCGTTCTCAAATATATGACCTCTGCCACATTTTGAAAGGATACGTTAGCTATCTTTATGACATGATTTTGGCCTGCATTCTGGTGATGAGACAGCAACAACAGTTTTCTCTGCGTTTACTTCTAGATCAACCTCCTTACTAGCAACAACTACACTTTCTGTGTTTTTCTTTATGGTATCTATGTTATCACACAGTAAATTCACATCATCAGCACAGACCAGCAGCTGATGTGTCCCATTTAATTTCAGTCCTATCTGGTTTCCCTGGACCTTCCTAATGGCATATTCTAAAGCAAAGTTGAAAATCAGTGGCAATAAAGCATCTACCTTGTTTTAGACCATTCTGGATGGGAAAATTATCAGACAAATGTTTACCTATAAGGACTTTACTATATGTTTCATTTAAACACACTTTAATCATCCTGACTAGTTTAATGGGTACCCCAAACTCTATGAGAATACTGTACAATACTTTCAACTACTCTACATTCTAAAATAAGATTTTTTCAAATGTGATCTGTCTGCTTTTAAAGATATTTCTTGGCTACAAAACTTCTTGCATTTAGAGGACTAGAAGTCTGTGTAACTGGAAAGCAGATCATGAATTTGACCCAGAATTACTTATTTTATAGAGAAAGATCATGATTATAAATTTAACCCATTTCTTAAGAATTTTGACAGTCCAGAAGCTAAGTGTATTAAGGAATCATGTACAATCACGAGCATGCTCACATGCATGCATGCACTCACGTATGTACATTCCTTTTCCATAATATCCTGGGCTCATACTTTCCTTTCATACCTGCAGATAGGCCATCATTCATTCACCTATATAATTAGGCAGTCACAATAAGATGATGTAATGTAATTACAATAATCTCAACATAAAGGCGTTCATTACCTTTTCTTGGTAGAGACTTCCATGACTAGCTAACATTTTGGAGAGCTTTAGCCTTTGCAGAGGAGAAAATGAGAGATGAGGATTCTTCAGATCATGTATATCTGCTAACGTTCGATCACCATTGGGCAAATGAATGATCCGCAGGTTCTTCCTTTGTAAATAAACATAAAACAAAAGAAATTACACATAAAAATCATACACACTATTATGTGTGACATACGTCATATAAGCTGCTTCATGACACCTTCATGTGGGGGGGGGGACCTGGAGCCCCATGAGATACAGTTACAGACACTATTTCAATGTATGAAGATGTATGTATCGTACGAAGAAGAATCTACAATGCTTTTTTTCAATTCTGCATATTACACTGACAGGAATGCTAATTCATTGCAGATATACATATCTACTGTTGTAAATATAACAAATACTACAGATTATAATGAATTATTTTTCTCCATATTTTGTCTTATTTTTTCTGTAGCATGAACAGCCTTGAGAAAAACTGACAAATATCACTTTCGGCTTCATGCAAATGCAGGTTATATCAGAGCAATAACACTTAAAATTAAATACATTTTAGTGCACACCGCAAATACCAACACATATGTTTTACACGCAAAGAACGCATAAAAACCCCCAAACAGCAAAGTAAACTTATGGGATCCATGGCAATACATTGCACTGACACAGTGCAGCACATGCTGATTACAGGCAGCACTAATCTTGCTGACAGCAGGACCTGGCAAAAAAGTCTTTCTATTGCACGTTTTTGTCATTTTCATGAAAAATGCTTATTTTGAAAAGCTTTCTTTAAATCTACTTTTTCTTTATTTTTAATACTGGATGTTGTTACACAAAAATTTTTCTTACAATACCGACAAATTTCTCAGCTATCTGAAACATCAAAAGGTGTAGATGTGCAAAAAAATGTATAGCTAACCTTGTCACAGACCGTGGAGATCTATTAGATTGTGAGACGTTGAGGCTCCTGCATTTTCTAAACAATCAGCTCACAGATGGTGCTGATGTTGTCAGCCTTACATTTCAGCCACCCTCTACCCCCAGGAAGATTCCTGGCACTCATTTCTGTTAAGAGGCTGAGTTGACCCCAGGGCCAAACTATGGCTGGAAAGCTTAGGTCAATTGAAAAATCCAATGACCTCATTGAGAACTGAACCCATGGCCTTCCAGCATGGTGAAAAATGTATTAACTCATTAGGGACTCAATTATAAGCAGAAGTACAGGGAAAACTCATAAATCATCAAGATAATGGTTCATTCTTGAAAACTCTGTACAGACATAAAAGTTTACTTTAACCAAATGTGCTGAGCACGGATGCTACATATGTTCCAATACAAATAACTGAACTTTTAAAGTAGGTGCCATCATCATCAGAATCATATATGTTTTCATGAACCATATGCAATCTCACCTAAAGCCACACTCAACAATTACTACTATGCATTTCAATAGAAATCCAATAATATAGGACAGAACAAAACATTTTTACTTTCACTGCCTAATTTCTATCGCAATACAATGCACGCAGTCACAAGGGAAGGACACAACACAGGACACAATATACACAAGAATATAGGAAGAGTACTCCCATATGAGAGGACTGACATAACTCGCGAATTTGAAGTGTGACATATAGATGATAAGTCTTGAAAAGTTTTAATATATACATTTTATTATTATACATGACATATTTACATTTTAATCATTTTATAAAGGAGACATGATGGCATACAGTGCAATGGTTTGATGTAAACAAAACCACACCTGAAGATGGCACATTAGTGCCGAAACATGTAGTGAAGAGAAAGGTGAAATCATGTGCACTGTAAGACGGCTGGTACAAATACACATCATGAATGTGAATAAGTGCAACAGGATGCTAAAATACTAAGGGCATTCTGTATATAATGCCTCCTATTTTTTTTAAAGAAAACTACAACAGATACAGAAAGCATTATAATGCAGTTAAACAGAGCAAGATTTCAGCTACTTACAGCTGTTTTTCCACATAATCATCACCGTTCATTATGCACTTTTGCCATCGATGAACAAGAGCCTGTATGCAACGCCTGTAAAAGTCTGCGCCAGCAGAGGCTAGCCACTTTCTTACAGCTGCAATGACAGCATCATTGTCTGGAAAATGTTGCCCACGTAGTCCGTCTTTCATAGGCCCAAAGAGATGGAAGTCTGAGGGTGCTAAATCAGGGCTATAAGGTGGATGTGGTAGGACAGTCCAGCCAAACTTTGCAATGTGCGCTGTGGTTGCCAAACTGGTATGGGGTCTAGCGTTATCGTGTTGCAAGCGAAAGGTTGTCTGCTTCTCTGGCCTGACTCGGGAAATATGGGCTTTCAGCTTAGTCAGCGTCATCTTGTAGCGTTCAGAATTGACAGTCCCTGGTCGTTATCTGCTGATCTGTTCGGATGAGGTGCTGTTCATTGTGAGGAGTGGCAGCTGAGCAGGGACGCCCATGGCGTGGCTTGTCGTGCACTTCACTTTCGCCACTGTTGAAACGCACTACCCACTGAATCACTGTGCTGACATCCACTGTATTGTCTCCATACACCTTTAGCAAGTGTCGATGGATGTCAATGGGTACAATTTGTTCAGCAGTGAGAAATTCAATAACACATTTCTCTTTCATGCGCACTTCTATGTCAGAAGCCATTTTGGCAGACTGCTCTGCTGTCGCTATCTGTCGCATGACATCCAAATTAACAGTACATTGGCAGGAAGGTTCAACCTTTACTACAACACCACCAACATCCAGCTCAGACGTTACATATTACCACAAAAAAATAGGAGGCATTATATACGGAACGCACCACGTATAACAATACTATTCTCAACAGCAAAAATTATTAAGTATTGACATTTACACACCTCATCAGTCTTATAAGGACCAAACATTCACTGAAGACAGCAAATGATCACCTGGAAAATTTTCACTCTGCCTGAGACATGGCAGAAATTAAACAGCACAACACAGCTAAATCAGTGATTCATTAAAAAGTTAAAGGCTTTATATTCTTTATGAGTTTCAATACAGGGCATATGTGACTACTGACCTATCAAGAAATAATAACAGCTTCCAAACCAAAGAAGAAAATACAAGAATTCAAAGTTTTAAAATTTATACTTACTATATTTGGTTCTCTGTGATGAAAAATGGTGAGAAAAGACACCACCATATTTATTTTTAGATGACCCGACAGAATTACTGAACTAGTGAACTACTGGGCAAATTTTAATGCCCCATGTGTCATTTAATACCTTATGTTCCACAGCACTGGTCTGCAGTGAAAGAAAAGAAAATCACTCAACCTAACAAAATCACGGATTGCAAAAACTACAGGAAAAAATTTGATGGCTGAAAATCTAATTTAAAGCCGAAATTTGTATGTTGCAAACTGATAGAGACAAAAGAAATTTATGTCACTTCACCTGTATTCAAACTCTTTTCGAATACATACAGATCTGCTGAACCTATCTTGGAATAATAAATACATAAAAGTGCAATACATGCATGCCACTTGTACTACTCTTACTTACTCCTCCCGTTTCTTCTGCTTTCGAGATACAAGCTCTCTAAATGTGTCAGGATCCAGTTCCTGCCTCCTTTCTCCCCCACGATACTTTATTCCGTGTTTGTACTCTTCATGTGAACGTAATGCAAACCTCCGTGGAAACTCTTTGTGACAGAGATGGCAGATATACCGTGACTTGTCCCCATGAGTATGAGCCTGGATACAAACACCACAAAAACCAAAGGCAAATATCAACCAATCTATAAAAATAAATTCTTAATGCCAACTTAATTCCATCCTTCTAAATTTTATAAATCAGTTGGAATGGAAAGATTCCCATCCCCGCAGGAACACGATGGGCTAGCAGATACTGACAGACAAAATTTTATTCCAATCTGTTGTTAACTACATTAATAGAGACATTATAACAAATGAAGAGGCTGCTGTCCTTCCATTAGTTTATCTCATGTATAAACAGTTTGAGTGACTCTCGACAGAGTTCTGAATTAGAGTTTGGATTTATTGACCACTTTAACACATGACTCACGACTAAACTTAATTATAGTACCATCACAGATTTCCCCACTTTACAAATCACTACAGCATATACTAAGTCTTTTCAGTCTTTCACTAGTCGTTTCCCAGTAACAGTTCTTAATGATGGTGATTCTTCAACTGCACAGACCAAGTCTTCCTACACGATTCCCTTACAATTGACTAACTTCTAAACTTGTCCCTTGCTTATAATATTGTGGCACAGACCATGTAGAAAACACTGTTCACTGTGGGAACGTGTTTGTGAAGGTGTTACTTGGTAACGGTTGCATATACCTGCTTATTAAGAATCTGTTACCTAGCAGCGAATGTTGGTTTTGTTGTTTGTTTAGAGGTTGTTACCCATTAATGAATCTACACGCTACAATATGTTTCACAGCTGTTTTTAATGAAGCACTACATTACAATAAAACAATTTTCATTTAGCACATTCTACACTCAATATGCCCTTTCTTTTGCCATGTCTTGTAGCTGAATATAGAAGTGTCAAAATGTATCTATAACATCCATCTTATTTAATTACATCAAAACTCTAAGACTTAAGGAGAAAGTGTACTGAATATAAAATATGTTTCTCTCCATAACTATCTCTTTGACAAATTTTTGGCAAGATCAAGAAGTGCAGCTAGATCTTCATGCAAATTGGCCATTAAACTTGCCTGATCAGAATGAAAATCAAAAGGGCCTGACAATTTCTTATATTTAATTCTCCAACAGAACATGCCTAAAAATGGATCCACTTGCAATACTGTCTGGAAGTAAGCTCTCTGTTGCATGTAATCAATCCTAGTGAATTAAGTGTTAAGAAAAGTTTGATGAAGACACTGTGAAATTTCATTTGGAAACCCATATTATATTATGCACCAGAGAGCAATGTAAACATGGATGTAAATGGCACAAAAAAAAACAACACTTTCATGACAATGATGGAAGGGCTTCCCATCCTTACAGGCAGAAGCAATGAGGAGCAGTTGTTCTAGTAACATGTAAACATGAACTCATCAATTTTACATTAAATTTGTATTAAATGTTTCTAAGCTACAAAAGAAGAACAGTAGTGCATACCTTTACCTTATGGCACATGAGGTTTGACATTTGGTTGAAGCCTTTCCCACAAAGTTCACATTTGTAAGGCCGTTCATTAGTGTGGGTGAAGATGTGATTACGTAGGTTTCCTAAAATTTGATAACATTATTATAGAGCTTACACAAACAGAACTTCTGCAAATTTATTACCTTGTCTAATATCACCATTAGCAGACTAGACATGGTGTTCACATTAGCAGAGTAATGTACAAATTTCACTTCTATATTCTGGCTTCTATGAGTAGAAAGGAAGAGATAATAATATACAAAATGATATTTCTGGCAATGGCATGCATTTTAATGTGTAAAACAAGTTTCCAATTTTCCTTCAACCAGAACCAATACATTTCAACAGCATACCAAGACTGAAATATAATTTGGCTGTTATTCAATTTAATGTTTCAGAAATTGAGAACATTGTATTTTCACAGTGGCACAAAATTTGAGAATTACTTGTCACCATCATGTCCAAGAGAACAGATAATTCCAAACAAAAACATTTTGGACAGGAACAATTCACAGAATATAATTAATTGGCTGTCATGGTCCCAAAACCGTGACATTATGTTGCTATATGACACAATTCCCATGTAAAATATGTAGATACATTAATCTGATATATCAACATCTAGCACTTTTCTAAATTTTCAAGTCACAGGAAAAGTACTATAAGAATTCAACCAATCTAATATTTTTTTTCTTATTGCTAGTGGGGTGGGAGTAAGTCCCTTGTACTGTGGCCACTTCTGACCTATTGTACCAGCCCCAGATGAAAGGTGAGGGTGACTGTGGAGCAATTGGTGGAATGAAGATTGGAAGGGGAACCAAAGTACTTGGAGAAAACCTGCCCCAGCTCCACTTTGTCCACCACAAATCCCACTTGACCAGACCTGGGATGGAACCCGGGCCAGCTCGGTGGGAAGCCAACAACTAACTGCTTGAGCTATGGCACGGCCAACCAATCTAATAAATGTAATCTAGGTCATCACAGATTTTGAAAATACATGTGTGGATTCTTCAGAGTCTTAAGGGTTAATTTACTTACTCTAAAATATAAAAGTAAAAAACAAGCCTCCTTTTCAAAACAACAGATGAAATAATACCTTAAAAGTTCGTTTACATGAAAATAAAATTACAAATGTTTGAAAAAAAGGGCCCAGAAAAATATTTTGACTTAAGAGGGATGAAGCAGAAAATTTAGGAAATTACACAAGGCAGAACCTTGTGATTTATACGTCACCAAGTATTTGAGAGAATTATTATGAAAATCACCTAGTATTATCAGGGTAATAAAATTCAGATTACAGTGTACTGGTACAGAATACTGCGATACAGAATTAGATTACAGTGGGCTGATCATGTGGCTCTGATAAATTATGCAAGAAAATCAGAAAAAAGGTAAAGCTGTCCCTGTGCTTAACTAATTAAGCACTACGCCATGAAGGCGTACGGTGGAGCAGATGTATAGAACCATGTTTTCTTGACCTCGGCAGTAGTTGGAGGTGAATAGTCAGCTTCACGCCCCAGGCGCTTTACCCCTGGCGAAGAAGCCCCTGGTACCCATTGGATAGGAGGAACCTGAACTCCAACCCCGCAGCTAGTTGCTATACCAACTATGCCATCCCGGCCCCTCAAGAAAAGCAGTGGAAGGTGGATAAGAGTAGCTCATGATTGGAATCAGAAACATTATACCCTTGGCCTCTAAATCCATATGGTTAACAATAATTATTCAGTTCTTCATTAGTTACGTGCTGAGTAAAAAGCTACAAGACCAATTACAGACACAGCACAGCGTAGACACAAGTAATTACATTATGGACAAAAACAACATAAAATCAAAGACTAATTAAAGGTAAGCACTAGAGGAAAGATACATTAATGCCAAGAAGTAAGCCAACAAACAAAGTAATTCAATTCAATTCGTGTTTATTTACATGCAAACTTAACAGCACACATGCCAATAACAAAAAGAACAAGAACAACAATAACAATAATAATTTATAGATTACCCTTTTGATGAAATCCCTTGCCACACACCTGACACTTGTGTGGTTTATGTTCTGAGTGAGTCTTCCTGTGTGAGATAAGTGTTGAAACACGGTTGAATGTTTTCTTGCACAGTTCACAAACATATGGCCTTGCATCACTATGGATTGCTCGATGCTGTGATAACGTACTCATCTGAAAGTAATGAAAGAAGAGTATATGCCAATCAAATAGGACAGCAGCCTAGCACCTGTACAAAAATGATCTACTTATTTCACTTCATACTATAACAAAATTGTCACTAAGCTCACAAGCTTCTTCCACAACCAGTGAGAGTTACTTGCAGGAAATGAACAAAACCTGTAATATTCTCATTATTTTAGACTGAAAATGAATATGGAACAACTAATTTTATACACCATAAACCGAAAATGCATCATACTATGATTAATTCACTACACATAAACCACATTTCGTATTGTGGCATATCTGCTCCATGCAAGAACGACTGAGCCACATAGACAATTGTTTCTAAGTAATACATGCACACAACAGCGGAAAAACGGGGTTATGCAACAGGTTGGTAAACAAACTTCTGCTCAGGCACAATGTTGTCACAACCCAACAGTGCTTAGCTATCACGTGACTTGTGTTTTCTGTGTGGTCTGTATTACACAACAAGAGAACTGCATTTTCTGCATTGTCCATGCTGTGGCTATATAACGCAAGTCCGCTTGCAGCTAAGAAGAGCTTTTAGTTGAGTTCTGAGGTTCCAGGATGATTGAACAAGAAATGGCAAGAGGACTTCACAGTGATCTGAAGTGCTAGTTTGTGTTGAGATCCACTGCTAGGAGACTGACTAGTGGAAATTGAGAATCCTAGTGCGTGTGCAACAGGAACTGTAAATTATGTAAACCAGCGATAGCACTGTATTAACTGTAATTAAGAGAGATTGTAACCGAAGTGCTAATAAATCAAACCATCTGAACTAGAACCTGTTCTTCTCATCATGCATACCTTCATGCACATAGCAAATTAACCTGCCAAGGTTTTGGGTACTTAAAATAAACTGTTCAGAATGGAGCAATGTCATTTAAATTATCTCAAAAATATTTTGTCGCCAAGGGATATCTATATGACCGCTGAAAATACTACTTTATGGCCATCTCATTCATTATGTAACCAATATTTTAATTACACGAACACCCTATACCACAGACTAACTGAAAAGTCCACGCTATTCACTTAATGCATTCATGGCCAGGCTTTTAAAATCAAGCCTCACTTTAAATGGGAATTTCAACCACATGAAGAGGGGGAAAGGCAACAAATGTAGATTATCTTTAGTACACCTTGGAAGTGTGTTACTGTATGTAGATGGTAGAGTAAATACATTTTGAGGCTACTGTTGTCAAAAGTCTATTTTATTAGCTGCATATATTAGCAACCTAGAATTTTTCAAAGTAATCTCCCTCTAATTCTTTACAATGTGCCCATCATTCTGGCCATTGTCCAAAACAGTGTTTAAAATTCTGAACATGAATGTGTATCAAAATTTTTTTCACAGGTGATTTCATGTCTTCAACATTCGAAAAACACTTTCCTTTCAGCATACTCTTAAGTTTCGGAAACAGCCAGAAGTCAGGAGAGTACGGCGGATTGTCCATGGCAGAGATGTCTTTTCCTGCTAAAAACTGTGACCCTCAAAGTGAAGAATGTGCTGCATGTTGTTGTGGTGAATAATCAACGAGCGATCTCTCCACAACTCTCCACACTTGTGCCTCACAGCATCAATTAGCCTTTTCAACACCTCCATGTCCTAGAATGCCTGCTTAATGGTGGTCTCTTCAGGTACAAATTAAAAGCAGATGATATCCTTTATACAGATCAACATTGTTTTGATCTTGGTCTTTGACATCCATGGGTTCTTTGGCCTTGGGGAACTCTTCTATCTCCACTCCATGGACTGGTGTTTGGCCTTAGGATCATACCAATAACATCATGTTTCATCACCAGAACACCATCCAAAAAACTATCTTTTTGAAGTTGTTCTGCAAAGTCCATGTACAAAGTGAGACATCCGTTCTTTTGTTCTTCTGTCAACTTTCACAGCATGAGCTTCGCTAACCTCCTCATGCTAAAATTTTCCTAACAGTCTCTTTGTGCATATGAAGCTCAGCAATCATCCTGCAAGTTAACTGGCAGTCAGATTGCACAAATTCCTCAATTTCTGTGACACTTTCATTGGTTCACTTTGTTATGAGAGCACCCTGCTTTTCATTGTTGTTCACATCTCTGCCTTCTCTAAAACATTTATGCTATTTAAAAACATAATTCTTGTTCACAGTAGATTCATCATAAACTGCTTTTAACACCTCTAATGTTTCACTCAATAATTTCTGCACTTTCACACAAAATTTCACATTCATTCTATTCCATCATACACTCCACAGTGATCCAATGAGCTACTGTTCAATACACACTGAATGCAGCTTATCCAGACCTTCCATGTGAGCTCTGTCTTGTTGCATCATCTAACATTAAAAGTAACAGCGCTGCCAGATAGCCCAGCACAAAACCATAACTGAGTCTCAAAGTGTACTTGCCCAACCTTGCACCTTCATTATCCCAAGCAGTCAAACTTCCGTCTTTCAACTGACAGTGACTGCTCATACAGGATGGGAAACTGTAGCATTATCAGGGCACTGTCATCAATTCCTTATTCTTTCTTACAGTCCTGTTACACGTAACAGAGTCCACACCACATAAACAGATATCAGACTCAATGACATACTTAGGCTTTGTCTTAGCTGTGCCTGCCATTTTTCTCAGGGTATCTGCAGTTTCCACTGTATGAAGAAATTATACAGAATCTACCAATCGCTTTTGTTAGAAACAGATGAAAAGAACATATCACTACCACTCAAAAATTACTTCCCCTGGTTTTGGTAGCGTAGCTGGTTGAGGGGCTATGCTACAAGCCGGGAGGTCGCAGGTTCAAGTCTCGATGAGGTCGTTGGATTTTTTTTTTTTCAATTGACCTAATCCTTCCTGCCACACTACGGCCTTGGGATCGACTCAGCCTCTAACAGAAATGAGTACCAGGAATTAATTAAATAATTTTCCTGGGGGGTAAAGCACGGCCAGCGCGTAAGGCTGACAACCTTACCGCCATCTTTGAGCCGATTGTCTAGATGATGTGGGACCCTCAACGTCTCACAACCCTATGGGCCTTCATGGCCTCTTACAGGGATAGCTTTACTTACTTTACTTTATATTCTTCAAACGAAAGACCACAACTCAAATAGATAATTCTGATACTCTAGTCCTAGAAGGCTTCTGTAACTTGGGCATTTCATATTATTGTCCAGATACAATGGTAGTATAATTATGGGTGCCACTGTTTTATCTTGTGACTGCTCTGACAACTCTGCTTCAATTTGCTCTTGTGTATTCAAACTGATTTGGTCAACAATCATCTGCAAAAGGTAAGAGCTTTAAAAATGCTCTAGATAGCAAGCCTGATGGGCATTATCTCAAAATGTGAACTGTACTGTAGGGTTCGTGATAAGGATGAAATGGTGGGATGACAACCACTTCTTTGGCTAACCCTAGTCACCTTTGATTCTAAAATGTCCACTGCATTGCCATCTGTTGATGATTCTGATGGAAACTGATGTGGATGTGTATGCAATTATGCCACCTGTTACTAATCCTATTCTTTTTGTTGCTGTGTTCTTCTTCTTTTGATGTTCCTAAACTTTTGTTGTCAAGGATTGCATTTTTGGAGAATCCACAAACACAGACATGATAATGTAAGCCTTAAATCAGATGTGAACTCACATAAAAGCAGCATGCAACTGCCATATCTCACATATGAGCTGCTTCAGTAATGATATTTATGTCAGCAGAATTGCAGCATAAATATAAAAATGAGGGAAAATGAAAGGAATACACTAGACAGATGGACTCCATAACAAGTTCCACTATTCGTAGGTGACAAAATCTTTCATAATTTTATTCAAATTATACGGAGAGGCGCACCAAACTCATTTACATCAATGATGGTAATATTGAAGCCTCTCTGATAAATGAGCTGTGGTTGATCGTGGCAGCAAATGTTTTAACTCTCAAAAGAATAAGAGCATCACTGAAATTATTCAAACATAATAAGTTTCTCTTTACTTTCTGACATTAAAAAGAGAAGACATTCTGCCCACAGCCATTGAAAAAAAAAATGAAAATAATTTTATATACTCCCATATTGGAATAACAAATTTTAGGAAAGTACCTTACCTGTCTAAAAGCTTTACCGCAGGTTTCACACTTGAAATTCCTTTCATCTGTGTGAGTTGGAAGATGACGCATTAATGTGTATTGATGACGAAACTCTTTCGCACCTTATAGTTAACAAAAAGAAGCTAATTAGTATTCACATACATTATTAAGAATCTGGGAGAAATGAAGATGGATAATTCATATATTACTCAGTGATTAAATTAAGAAATAAACAATGATTCACTAAAGATCTGTGATAATGGTTCATGCAATGCACTGTCATTATGTTGTACATTAAGGTGTATTTAATATGCATAATATTTAGGGACCTGGCTCTACTTCTGCCTTTCAGTAATCAGCTGTTGATATGATCCTGGTTCTTGTATTCCACTCACTAACCTCAACAGTATCACATCCTGACTACAGCCACTTGAAGACAGTAATGAACATTACATACTTGTACACAGTGTAAGAGCAGACTTCCCGAACTGACGCTATTACAATAGTATTACTACCTCCACCTATCAGGGATGAAGGGAAATAGTTAGACAGAAAGTTTATTTATATGATGTGAAAGTTTCAACTTGTTTGGTTGATGCATATGAGGATTACAATTGTGTTAAAGTTAGTTTTTTCATCATGTTGAAGACTGCCTCAATAATACAAATTTCGTCTCAGTTACTGGGGCCCAGATGTACTTCTACTTTTGGCTCAAAGCCCAAAACATTCCAAATCAATGCTTTCAAGAACTCTTGTTTACTGATGTTCTATGTCTAAATTACTGTGTTGGGTTGCAGTATAAACAGTATTGACTCTCAATAAGCATCACACCATAATGTATGGGAGGAAAGCTTTATGCATTCTACACTAGGTGGAGGTGGGTACTCAACTTCATGCTCTGCTCACTTTATTTTTAGGAAAAAACCGCCAGTACTAACTGGATCACGAGCTGGGTGAACCCTAGAGCTGATTTCACGTGATAGTGAAAAGAAAAAATCCTGTCCATTAGAAATGCATCTATCATCCAGCCTACTAACTGAGCTAATCTCGCACATATGCACTGTAATATACAAACAAAAAGTACTAATATAACATAACACTGACAGAGCACGGAGTTTAAAGGAAAACTTTAAACTACATGATACTAAATCAAAATTCCACTGTACTTCACACAAGTCCACGTCCAAGTGGAATCAAGGATATCAGGACGAAAACTATTTTAATCCAATCATATAAATTTTAACACTATCCCACATAATGCTTATTTTATTATAACAGTCTTTATTCTAGGACCAGTTTTTTAAGAAAATGGTGAAGTGATGAACTGGAACAGCAAAAATAACTCTGAAACTGATAATGTTAATGCTGTGGAAAGAAATTTAATGAAAAGTTTAGTGACACATTTCATAAATAAGATTAATGATGCCATGGATATCCTAAACGAAAACAATGGAAATTTTGAATAAAGCAGTAAAGTGAAAAGACGTGTTAAAAATATATCCTACTACAAATTCTTTGAGCAAAAAAGCTTCAGGCATGGCATTCAAATCTTGATGGCTTCTTCATGAAGACAGGTGATAATTACTTGGGAAATAAGCCAGAGCCAGTCCCACCTATCAATAGCTAAAGCCATTCTTTATGTATTATATGTATTTCGTAGGAATTTTATAAACATTTTCACTGCATTTCGCCAGTTCATTCATCATATAATTCTGATTTAGGAGGGCACTTCCATAATTACCATACTAAAATGACCCCATAAAATGCTGAATCATCTTCCCTCTCATTTCTTGGAATGCACTCCCATTGTTAAAGAAGGTATGACTATTCATGAACATGATACTTACATATGCCACACTCCCACATTTTAAGAGTCTTGCCATCTCGTTTCAGGTACTTTACATAATGGAGTCGGCTTCGTGGATCATTTTTATCAACCACTTTACGAGGATAGTCATTTCCTTCCCCCATACTTGATATGTAGTCTGATTCACTGCTGATAACCTACACAACACACATAGGTCAACATGGCCAAACACAAAATATTGCAGGATTACACTGTGAAAGTAAACCTTTAGTAGCACACAAAGTAAGCCATAAACAGGCTACAAGGCAAAACAAGAATGAAGTATGCAAAATTCAATGACAATATTTTTGTAGGATTTGAGGTTTTCACGGCGGTGACTACGAAAAAGGCAGTCTTCTAGGATGTGTCATGTAGATATTGTGTTAACCGACGTTAACCACTTATATTTCAGAGACTGTGCCTGGTTCCATCATAAGGAGCTCATGGCCAGCTGGGAAGTCTCCAGTGGCATACTCTTCATTCCACATTTCACAAAAATTTTCATTTATTGTCTTTAGCATTATTCATGCCCATAACTGAAAGAGCAGAGACAGAGTTCCAAATGGAAACTAAANATATTCATGATTGTTAACTCATTTGCCGATCACAGTGGCTGCACAGTCTAAGGCATGAACCGTTTTCACCTGCTAAAACACTGGGGTTGTGGGTTCAAATCCCACTTGAGGCATAGATGTTTGTCTGTGTTTGTGTTGTTCTATGCAGACATGGCTGGGCCGATCATCCACCCAAAAAGTCCTACCGACTGTCTATATAATTAAAAAACTGTAAAACAAAGGTTAAGGTTCACCTTGGACTGCAGTGCCCACAAAGTAGAGCAGCAGTAGTAGCTAACCCATTAACCAACTCAAACCCAAAGTTAACAACTAACTACTGGTAACTTCAGGGAGAAAACACTTTTTTTTACAAGTTAACAGATGCTCAGCTACTTAACCCACCCCCCCACTCCCCCAACCCTTCCCTTGGTGCATTATTGTTTTAACAGAATTCCATGACTGGACTGTGAAGATCCTCTACTTGTGAACTGTTTGCTGAAGACGCACTGAATGTATCCACAGAATTGTCTGCAGTGTGAGCCTTTATATTTTCTTGCAGAAAATGCCCATATCACTTTTCTTCATTGGTCAGCTGATCAAAGAAGGGTGACAGAATAAATCTCACAGAATGTTCGGGATTTACTCGTTCATGAAAAAAACAGACCCAATTATCCTTCATGCACCAACTGCTAAATAATGCAATGGCACATCATAAGCAGCATGAGAATTCTCTGTACTACAATATCTGTTATTTTGGCTGTTCACGTAACCACTTAAAGTGAAAATGCCTAATTAAAATCAAATCTAAATTCTGGGTCAAAAAGTCCACTGACCACTGATTCCTGTTACCACCTACAGTATCAGATTCTTGCTTCATAATCGGGAGGCAGATCGCGATGTATGACTGTTGCTTTGTACAGTTGTAATTTTAGCAACTCTGTACCAAAATGTGCCATAATTTTTGGCAACTCACACAGAAAGCCAAAAGATGTAACAATTTCTTCAGGCTTACTTCTAATCGAGTACTGCTAACACAAGTTTTTCTTCAGTCAGTATGTCCTGTGGAAATATCACACCTTTATTATGAGCAAGATAGCCTAATCGAGGACACTAACGAACGTATTATGATTGTAGATAACAGAGTGGAAAGAAGTGACAGTGGTGTTGAATCAAGTGATGAGTCAGAAAGTATATGTCTGTCTGGAATAGAAGAACTGGAAGGGGACTAAAAAGAGATATGAAGAAAATAAAAATTAAATAATATTCTCTGCAGTGTTCATTTTCTAGGGATGTGTAGTGTAGTCAAATCAACTTCCCTGTTATATACCACGGCAATGTTTAATTTTATTTAAAGTGTACTGCACACATAATTGACACCATCTATACATACTTATACATGTTGAAATTTCATAAGAATTTCAGATGTCACTGACATACCTTGTACTTAATACGACTGCGTCTACCCCTGGGGCCATTTGCTGAAAACTTCACCTGAAGTGGAGGAAGCACTTCTCCCCTCAACCTTGCATCATTTGGTTCCTCTGTTTCTAAATCCCCTTCTTCTTCCATCTCACCATTATCTGACTGCTATGAAATAAATTATAAATGATCAGAAAAACGTACATGATAAATTAACCACTTGTCCACTACTGACTATGACACTAGCTTGTATGTGGTGAGTAATGGCAAAAACTCCATTATAAATGCGGCATCTAGCAGACCCACTGCAATTTAAGATACTGTTCACTGTGAACACACATAAGGGATTACAAATTAGATGATAATGAGCTGTACTGAATTCTGCAACAATAGCAAAACATACTTAAACATAAGCAAGAAGACTGTAACCACTAAGGAGTAATATTATGACTGTCAGCACATCATTGCATGTAAAAAATGTGCTTTAATATTTCATTACTATTAATTTATGTACATTTTGTTATTTAAAAGTACTAATTATATCCAGTCACCTATTATGAGGGCATCAAAAGCAAATATTTCATTATAAGCAAAACATTTTATTCATAATCATTCTTAATTTACTTTACTTTCTTAAGCAATAAAGTATGTTGTGGCGTGCTGCCAGAAAGCCAGAATGGTTGAGATCAGGGTTGATTTCCTAGGCAATGAGCAACGTTCTAGCTACAATGGCTATGAATCAGAACGCATCCATTGCTATACAGCAGCTAGCAATATCGAAGCAATGAGTTGTTTGAAGCAGCATTGCATAGCAGTGGGTGAGGTTAACCCTTCGACAAGGTATTCCCTATTCAGTCCGAGCGCACATTATAAGAGTCCAACTGCGACAAGAGACTAGTTCAGTTTTGCATTCAACTTTAGCAGGTGAGAGTTCTTATCCGACTAGAGCAGAAGAGTTGTAACACTGAAGAAGAAACGTCTAAAGGACGTTGTAAGTGGAGAATAACTGTAAGTGTGAGTGTAGAAGTGACTGTCCAATAAAGGCATTCTTTCAAATCCAAGAACCCGCACAACTTCCTGTTGCGTTGCCTAGCAAACACGCAAAAATGTAATGAGGTCTGTGTGCAAGTGGTGGCCCCAGGTTTCAAACAAGTGATCAATTTTCATGAAATTTGGCATGGAAGGGCATTCCAATCTAATACGTTTTCTACAGGATTTGAGGTTCTCACAGTGGTGATTATGAAGAGTTCTATCTTCTGGGATATAATGCCCTATAGTTCTATCTTCTGGGATATAATGCCCTATAGTTCACTGAAAACCAACTAATATTTTTGAGAAACAATTCATCTCCTTCTTCAGGGTCAAAGAATAAGCCAAGGAAGAAACCAGCATGACAAATTCAGCAAGTGGCTCTTGCTACCTGCCCTACATATATGGCCAAATTCATGTCTTAAATTCATCTTCCTTTCCAAAGATGATGGTTTGTGTACATTTGCTTTCCACTGGCAAAGTGATAATTCAGTCTGAGGCAGAGTTCTGATATTTTTCAATTTCTTATATAGAAATGGTTTTGACAATACCCTGGAACTTTCTTCATTCCAATGAATTGGAGACTCCACTTAAAGGTACAGTATAGCCACTCGATCTAAAACCCTATAAAATACATTAATTACAGGCAGAGATTCCACTTTAATCCATGTTTGGGAAGAATCTCTTCCCCCTCTGCTAAGGCACATTCCTCTTTCTCTCTCTCTTCTAGTGACTATCACTTCATTGTTTACACTGTTATCAAACTAAATGTGGCTAAGTGACTGATACCAAGTACAGTGCATTAATACATTAAAAAAACTGGAAAAGAAACATTACCCTTAAGGTGATATCATTCTGGGATGAGGGGAAAAGGAACAGGTGTTTCATACTTCTGCTGATGAAACAATGAAGGGAGGTGTTACTCTACACACCAGGTATCCAACATGATACAGATCTGTAACTAAGTCATTGCTCTCTTCACTTGGCTAAGCTATGTTACGTAATATATCACTAAAATATACTCGCTCATTCCTCACAAACTTGATTCTCCTCACCTGAATAATCTCATCAACAACAGATGTCGCTGCTTCCTCTACAATAACTGGCAACATGTGGCTCGATGTATTCACTGTCTCTAATACAATCTCCTCTGCTTCAATTATCGCATTTTCTTCCTCACATTCTTCACTCTTCACATAGACTTGATGAACACTGAAGAATAATATAAATTAAGTCCAACTCTAAGAATGTACCATATTATTTCAAAAGCTGTCATGCATCATATAACTTTTGTAAGACTTCACAAGTCTTTTACCTAATCAACTCATCTTTTGTACCAGATATACTGTCCTCCTTGCTACCAGACTGGTTTAACAAATCCACTTCCTGTTTCTTATCCAACCTGAAGAAATCTGCGTCACCACCTGACTTTCTATGTTTATGCCTCTCTTGGGTTCCATTCGAAACTTCACCTCCTCCGTCGTCATCACCTGTTATCACAATATTTGTTTAATTAAGAAAATTCGTAAACACTGACACTTTTTAAGAAGTCCATGTCCGACGACTTCATTTAACATTAAATGGCTAACATACGTTCGCGCAAAATACGCCCTTTTTACCAAAGTATTTTTCTATTTCGTTTATTAGTTACACTTGTATACCTCAAAATACTGAGATATAACCTTAAAAAATACACATACAATTTTAATCACGTTCCAGCAGTTTTATAGAAAATTATACAACCGCTAAAACTTGTACCGATATATGTTACCTAACATCTCGAAATACTGTCATCTCTTTAAAGGTTTTAATATATGTCAACAAAACTGCAATATCCATACGCTATGTTTACAAATTTATTTACACTTGAATTTATGGGAATTATGAAACAAAAGACTGACGCCATTTTGAATGAAATGATCGTCTTCTGCAATAGAAACACAAGACGATCGAGATTCGTTTCTTTTTGTAATGCCGACGGTGTTAAATATAACAATACCTGTCCACTACAAAGAACGAACTTACTAGAACGTAATTCTTCTTTGTCTTCGTTATCCATATTGATAATGTATTTATTCAATCTTCAACTAGCAACCATTATCCCATACCCGCGCGGGAACGAACGCTGCATACATGGCCGATATGGTGCGCAGGAAAATTGAAAAACGCACTGCGCATGGGCGGCAACACGAAAGATTCAAATTGGCGGACGAATACGCCTCACTGAAATTTAGATTATTGCCGAACTATGTTTCATTTTCAGAACATATAATTATTAATCATAACATTTTCATTTATCTTAGGATCGTCCATAAGCTAACACATCAATTATACATTTTCCAGTTTTATGTCTAAACTACGATATCTTCCATAATATAACTACTTTTATCCAAATATTTGTACTCTGCATTTAATTGCTGAAATCCACTTCTTAGCATGTTTACAAGTAAGTAAAAAAAAGTAAAGCTATCTCTGTACCAGGCCGTGAAGGCCAATAGGGTTGAGGGTCCCACACTATCTAGACAATCGGCTCAAAGATGGGGGTAAGGTTGTCAGCCTTACGCACCGGCCGCGCTTTACTCCCCAGGGAAATTATTTAATTAATTCTTGGTACTCATTTCTGTTTGCATGTTTACAAGACAAAATTAAAATCGTGATTTGTGCTCTTATGCACAAGTGTTGTTCTGGTAGTTTTTAATCAGAATATATTTATTTTGTTCTCCTATGGCTCTGTATATAGATTAGAATACTATTATTTTGTAAAGCCCCAGTCCTTAGTTATTGTCATTGTCATGAAAGTGTACAGAGGAGTGGAGCTATAGCTTCATGCATTCCTGATCTTCATGGAGGTGAGCGGTTAGCTTCACCTCTTCACTTTTGTATCCATAAGGAAAATCGCTTGTTGCCCACTGGAGTGGAGGATTTGAGGGATCTAGAGTCAATATGCACATTGTAACAAGGACAAAACCTCTGCCTACGGCAGGAATAGAACATTTTGTACAAAATGTTAATCTACACTCCTCCATTCATCTTCATGGTGTGGTTATTATTTAAGCACATACTGGAAGCCCCATAAGAATTACATTAATTAAACATTAAACATATCTTCCATGCAATACTCTTCAGCTTGTCAAGGTACTATATGTGCGGTACTAAACATATTTTTGTCTGAACTTCAATTACTAGGGCAGGAATGATACTTTACATTTTTTGGGTACCTAAAGCTTTCATTAAGCACCCTTTGAACATTATCATTTCGATGTGGTCTTCAACATTAAATACTCAAAGGTGAGTGAGGGTTATTTACAGCAATCCACTTGTAAAGTTGTTTCTGTCATGATTTGATCCTCAGAATGGATTTGTAGGCTTGTCTTTCTTGTTACCATTGTAATTCTTCCCCTCAATGTCATGATATTCACCTCTGCCATGTGAAGTTGTGAGGAAGTGACATTCAGCAGCCATAACAAAACCATATATAACTGCAGGGGTTAATGACATGTTTTTATTTTATACTGTGAGGTAGCACTATCAGAAAAGCAGTAAATCTTAATCATATCTTTCAGTTTACTAGAGAGCTGCATACTTTGCTTTGAAACAATGGCATAAATGCACAGCCACAGCATATTTTAAACAATCTAATACAACAATGAAACTGACCTGCTTTGTTATTGCATTTTGTGCATAATAATAAGCTACAAATGGATGTAAAGTTCCCACAGCACTGTTCCAATGAAAACCTTGTACTTAATCTTGTATGTTGAAGGAGCACTTTTCAGAAAAATCATAAAAAACAGTAAATAGCAATTTCATCCATTTTAAGTTTCATCTTTAGTACTTCATAGAACAATGACAGGTGCCATACTGCAAAAGCATAATGAATTTGTATGTTTAACATTTCAGCAAAAGACTTAACAAAGTCACCACAAAACTGTGCAGTTGTTTCCAGACTTGATATGTTAACAGTCATCAACTGTCTGTAGGTTAGACTGTCTATACTGTTGTCTTCAAATTTATGATTAGGTTCCTAATCCCTGGACACATCTCACAATCTCTCTGGTAGCAACTTATTAAAATTCGCATGATGGGGGTGGAGTCCAACTGGTCTACTTGGCATGGCAGCCACTGATTGGCCTATTGTAGCCTGCCCTGGGTGATTATGATGATGGAGAATTTGGTGGAATGGAGATTGGCAGGGGAGACCGAAGTACTTGGAGAAAACCCACCTCAGGGCCACTTTGTCCACCACAAATCCCACTTGACCAGACTGGGTTCGATCCCGGGTCTGGTCAAGTGCGATTAGTGGTGGACGAAGTGTGAAGCCAGCGACTAACCGCTTGAGCTATGGCGCAGCCATGGTAGCAACTTACACTTGGCATATTACAAATAACTATATGCAAACAGTTGTTATATTTCTCCTTGCTGTTTGGAAAATCATATAATTTTGCAGCTGAAACCGTAAGTTTTGGATTCTGATGAAATGTATACACATAAATTACATGTGTACCACCTGCTTCAGCCAACACAGAAATGCTTTGCAACTTCTCAGAATGCTTTTCCCTAAACTTAAGTAGCATAAATTAGCAATATCAATTGTTTCTAAAAATGAACCTTCTTGGCTTCTGAGATAATACAAATATAATCTTTTGCTCGTAGCATGATCCTACTGATTTTATCACATGCATAAAACTGATTCACTTCAGCTGTTGCAGTACACAGAACTTTGCCTGGTTTTACATTTGCGTCTGATAAAATTCTTTTCTCAGCCACTAATTTCTTGGCAGCCCAAACAATGTAATTTGTAGCTTTGAACTCCTAAGTGACCACCTCCTTAAAAGAACCACTGTAGGAGCCTACCACAATGCCAGCCAATCAGTGCAGACCACAGTAACACCAACAACCATTAGGTTGGGTGTCGCTAGTGACAGTGTATAAAGATGTGGACCTCCAACACGCTTACCAGTCAGTCGGAGCTGCTCTTACCTTGAGACAGCTCATCTGGAGCACACATAGCAACAGCAAGTCTTCAAGCAGCAATAGCATCAGCTGACTCTGCTAGTGGTTGCTTAGACACATTGGGAAGTTCACCACTACAGCCATCTTGCAGTCTCCTGGCTACCAACACAAGAAAAAACGACATCCCCAACACAAGCCAGCCTGCTGTGGCCTGAGTTTCACCAGCATTCATCAAGTGAGCTCCACCTCACAATGCCTCATGTGTTACGTCACACTCTGCTTGCTCATTCGTCTGTATGACCGCCCAACACCAATAAATATCTGTTACAGAACGTTACGTGGTTGCTTCTCCATGCTACTGGAACTGACATCCCACACCATCAAAATTTGAACCATTTCAATCTTCTTTGTTGTTACGTAAAATTTTCCTTCAACTGTGATATCATTTTACCTCCACCTGAACTGTTGTTACCATGGGGGTCTGCTAAACTAAATATTTCTTTTCAATTTGGACACTTCCCATGGCACAATACTACTTAAAATATTAAGTTCTTTGACATCTGTAGCCCTTTAATCTTTGCAAAACAAAAACCAATACAGAATTTACCAGACAAGGAAATACAACTTAACTCTACTGTAATCAGGTATGAACAAGATGAATCATGATGCCCTACAACATGTCTGTACAGGTCACAGCACAACTCATACAAAAATACAATAAAAACCAATAATTTGCTAAACATCTACAAAAACAAGATCAGTAATAAGACAATCTATATTGACAATGCCGAATTGCATGACAAAAATTCAGTGTGCCTAATCAGACCAATAAGACAGGAAATCATATTCTCTCATCACTCTCATGTTCCAACATGATGCCTTCCAAAGATGTATTGAAATGTTTTCCAAGTGCTGTAGGAAAATCTTGCATAAATCTGAGTATACATTTTCTTCATAAACTAAGGTCAAAGGTGAAGGTCAAAATGTTAATATGCTTTAACACTTTAAATGATGGCATGCTAAATGAAAGCCCCAATTAAGATCTTTCATTTCATATTAGAATGAGCTCTCTATTATAATTAGGACAAAAGCTACAAGCATTTTAATGAATAAGAATGAGAGAAAATTTTAGGGGAAATTAACAACTCAAAATACTGTAACTGTACCATTATTGGACAGGTGCAGGTAAAATTTCATATGTATGTTTATGTAAAAATATGTAACATATTCGTATGTTACTTTCTAAGAAGATCCAAAAAGTTTGTAAAATTTTATTAGAATGAGAAATGATTACAAAAATTTTGAGCCTGAACTGTGTTGACTTGATATGGAATGACTCACTCATTAAATACGTATACCTATACAACAGTTTCTTCTGCAATTGGGTTTGGTGTAACTGAAATGTACCTTTATTTTGTGGAGCAGAAATGTATATCAGTACACAGCATGTAAGTTTCAGACAGGGATAAAATTTCAGATTGCAGGAAATTAAGAAAGGAAGAGAGACAGGCTTAACTCATTCACTTGCCAATACTATTTAATTTTATCTTTTCAAAAAGACCTGCACAAAGATAAATGCTTCAACGTTATCATACACCTTCAATACAGGTATGCAAAAGAGACTGCCGATGAACATGTCAGCTATGTTGGCAAGTGGGCAGTACACATAACTTGAAAAATATTGCCATAATATGCAAATATCTCCATTCAATTCAGAAGCAAGTGTGTTAAGTATAAAATTACTAAAACACAAGTATTAAACAAATATCATTAAGCACAGAATTTATTGTTTATAAATAACCACTTGATTCTCATTATGTACATAAGAGTTCAAAATAATACATTATTAGCAGTTATTTTTTCACAGGTATAATTTAAAAAATTCTATGGTCATATTATGGAAACAGTGTTGGTATTTACATCTTGAACAAAATTAATGGCACTGATTTAATCAACACAGACAATAATCTCATCATAATAACAGAATTTGATAATATTTACATAGCGAAAATGTATTCTATTTTTATGCTAAGTCTGTAACATCAAACAATTTCTTATTGCCTTTATAGACAGGATAATACTGCTTTAAGTATTAAAATCATGATCAGGTAGCAGCACATATGGAAACATTTGTAAGTAACAGATTTTATTACAGTAAAATCCAAGACGAGGAAATACTTAACATTCAAACCTGTTATTCCAANTATCATTTATCGTGTAGAGTGCAACAGGATGCTTAAATATAAGATTATACAATAGTTATCTATCACATACTGGCTACTTTATTTTGTTTCTGTGATATGGATACATTATTAATTTTACAACTGCACTTACCTTGTCCGCCTACTATATAACTGTATAGTTATTTTAAATACATGTTTGTTTCCTTTACTATATGCTATTTTTTAATGGAATAACTAGTCAAACACTTTGGACAAACTATCAGCCACCATTTGCAATGTACAGACTACGGCTTTTGCCCTACATTATAATTTTACTTCATACACATGAGTTGCCTCACTATTTGCTCATTCAGTGCTTCATGTGGATGAAAACAAACATTAAACAGTTCTGACATGGCAATTTATGAAAATATGATGCTTCAGCAATCGAACATCAAACACATTTACAGTTTCAAATGTTTGATCTAGAAGTGGAGACCTGAGATGTTCTGTAACAAGTATGACCACTTATTTCTGTAACAAGTACGACCACTTATACAAGAGAATTGTATGCCACTATGACTGAACCGGTAATGATTTTTGTTTGTTTATATCAATGAAAAGGGACAAAACAATAATATTCCTTTCTCCAAATTATGGTAATTTCAATTATATACACAAAGAACTCCAGCTATACTAAATATCCTACTTTGAAATCAAGCACAAAGAATAATTTTTTCTCAAGGAACATAAACATGAGGTGTTCTCTTCCTGTTTTTTCTGCATAATAAAAACACTGCTATATAAATAAACGGTGGAGGTTTAATAAACAAAGTCTAAAAAACATTATGGTGTGGGAACTACAGGAAATTAAACTGGAATTTCTACATCACAAAAGATAGTTATTTTTCTGGTTTAAAAATAGAAACCTGAACTCTGCTGTTGACCTGAATAGAGGAAGTATCAAATTAAACTTATCGAGACCACTGAGAGCTACAAACTACTAGAAGTGCTCAATGGATTTTATGTCAGGACAGATGAAAGTAACTTAGCAAAGGCTAATGGTAGCTTTTGCTCACCATCTTTATGACACACAGAAAAAAATGTTCATATATCATATTTTCTATGAGAACCCATGAGAGCTTAGACATTCCTGGATACCAGGATGTTTTGTGATGTGATGTTTATGCAGATGGGTACATATATTCTCTCCATAATGATCACTGCATGCATAACTATAATTCCTAGGTACTATTTTGCATATGTTCTCAGTATCATTACTATATCCTTCATGCCTAAGAGCGTAATATAGTTCTTCAGATTTTCAAAATTAATTGGTCAACACAGGAAGCAAATAATGGAAAAAAAATCCACAAATGAGACTTTCAGGATTATGTATAAATAAACAAATACGCACAGAACGTCTTTCCTAATATGTAGGTCTTTAACTTCTATTCCCATTGCCACAATTTCTATAACTGAGCATAGTACACAGAATACATGAATGCCACAGACACAACTGTATTGTAAAGGAAAGCACCTGGAATTCTGGATGCTTGTGGCAACACATGTTTACAGTTTTTGAGATAACAAAAGGGGTCCATGTCCATCAATCCTTTTAACTCTGTCCCCACCTGTTTTATGCTATTTATAAGAGAGAATGAAAAGTTAGCATGCAAAAAACCAAAAAAAAACTTGAAAATGATACAGCAAACTTGTCATAATTGTTACACTATATATACATTTTCCAACTTCTTAGTTACATTTGCAATATCTGAGCAAATATTAGATTAGCTGTTCAGTTATATGTAAAGACTTGAATATGAATACATTTTTATTAATGTCAGCCGGTACTTTTAGTACTCACTGCAATATGTGAGGAAAACTGAGTTCCAGTCAAAACAGATGGCTACAACTTTCTATAGCGATTCTTTATCTCTCCAAATACTAAGAAGGCTGAGGGAAGTTTCAGACAAATGTTCAGACAGGAGCCACAAATGAAATGAATATTTAATATAACATTTATCTTCATAATACAAAACCATCATATATTAAAATGGATTTAAAGAATAATATACGTATGAGGGCTGTTCAAAAGATATTGGTTCACTGAGGCAACTAAATAATAACTCAATGGTCCTATTAGGGCAGACTCTATACCTGGAATGCCATCATTTAAATGTATCACATTATGCCCATTTGCTTTAATGTACTTGTGCTGTTACACAGCTCATAGCTGACTGTTGGTGTGTATTTGCTAGCAGTGCCACAGATTGGTTGCATCTGAACAAACTTGTATTCAAAATGCACCCACTTCTGACATCCTGTTCTCTTTTGCAATTCTGTTTACGTCTTGTATGAAACAAAACGACTATACAGTAAGCACTCACATAACATAATATGAAAGAAAGTATAAACTAAATGAAGGAGCAGAGGAAAAAACAAATGTTTCATTCAAGAATGCTACAATTCTTATTTTCATAACTTATGCTGAACATGCTTGTCATGGTCAAATAGAAACATGTATCATTAAATTTTGTTAATCACAAGAAGAAAAACTAACTTGGTAAGGACAAAAAAAGGTACACTAGTAGCACATAACAGAGTAACTTCTAAGGTGCATTTATGCATAACAACAAAGGTTGTTACTTTTGGAAGAAAGCCATAAACTGATCAGTGTAGACCCAAAATCCACATATTAATGAGAGTTCATCATTATGCATACTGCACACCTTCAATGCTAAATTTTAGAAATTAAAACTGGAATACTATATTGGCACACATGCAATCTGGTGAATAAGATTACAAGCTCTGAAAATAATTTGTTCTGTGCTTGAATGCAGGTTCCTATTCACTGATGACTAAATTACGTTGAAAGGCAAACACTGTGTCTGGAAAATACAAAATGATAACCATTTTGTGTCAAAACGTGGTTCACAATAAAAGGTACATCTTAACCCAATGGCACACTATTTGAATTTGTCAAAATAAAGTACCTATACGTATGCTACTGCAAACAAAGAAATGAACTTTTGGACCAAATGAAGTGTAGTTAGCACTCCTGCTTCATACAAGGTAGCTCCAAAATTCAATATCAGCCTGAAGACCAGCTGTCCTGGCTTTTTCTACAGTTTCTCTCAGTTCCTTTAGGCAAATAATGGAACACTACCTCAAATTAGGCTATAGCTCCTTCTGTCCACTAAGTACACAACATTATATAACATTATTACATAATCAGAGCTATTCAAAGCACTGTTAAATAAACTATAAATAAATAAATACATAAAAGAAACTGTGGGTTAAATAAAAGGGGGAAGTCCTTGACGACTATCACAAGGACTTTGATACATGACATCAGTATTTAGACTATACAGCATCAAATGGAAGGATGACTGCTGAATAAAGAACTGGACAGGTTTGGAAGGAAGTGGTTGTGGCCAAGTCAAGGTGCTTCATTACCAATTCTAAAAAAGCAAGAATTGAAGTGCCATTCTGAAAATTCCAAAGTGGATTGAGAAACTCAAAATTCTTGAATATTATGCTTCATAATGAAGAAATACTAAAAGTTAATTTTAAATTTTGAAGAATCTTTTTACCAGCAAATTGGACTTAAATCTGAGAAAGAAACTAGTGAACTGCTACATTTGGAGCACAGCT